ACAACCTACTTAATGAATTTTACGTTTATCTAATGCTTAATTGAACAGATTAATCAAGCATTTTGTAGTGCATACAGAATTGGCGGAACAGGAATATTTTATTGCATAATTTACTCTAAATGTTACGTTATTTTTTTAATGATTACTTCAATTTTTTTTTAATATAGCTAGACCATATTTTCATCCTATAGGTTACTAATTTATAGGTCTAATACAGACCTATGTTCCTTTAAAAAACCAATCTCCCCAGTTCCTGAATCCCCAACAATCCTCAAATTCCTAATCCCCAAAAGGCCAGTAACGCCCTTGTAACGCCTCTAGTGTTCCAGGTGTCCATGGGCGAAGCCGATTGCTTATCATCAGATGATCCGTATGCTCATTTACCGGCTTATTCCATAAAAAAACTTCCTGATCAACAGGTTTGTTTACTTAAGCAAAGATAACCGTCTAATTACCATCAATTGACCCTTAAGCTTTGTTTCTACTTATTGTAACATAATAATATAATTAGCACGATATTTATTGAATTATCACTGCCTTCATACAAGACGCCAATGCCTTATAGCATTTTAATATGAAATCCTACGGATATAAGTACTGCATTTGTGGTAATTGTTGATAGAAGACTACTTTAGCCGTGGTCGTCCCCCTGTAGGGCAAAGCCTTTGCCCTAAAGTAGACTAGACTAGGCCTTTACCACCCTTGTTCGACTAGTCTTTATAGCTTTTATATTTTTTTTTTCAATATATTTCCATAATTTCAAAAATATATTTCCAATTTAAAATTTTTCCAATAAGTTTTTATAGCTTTCTGTGCCCAAGATAGAAGACTACCAACAAAAAAGATTGACTTCTTTCACTTATGCTTTAAACTTTTAAACAGCGAGACAACCCAACTCATCTTCATAAAAACCAGATTCTTTCTATAAAAGTCAGAAAGTAAAAGTTAAGTACACTTTAAATACCTGATAAAAGTCACGACATACATTCTTTTGGCGTTATATACAGTATTGTACATACATCTGTCTGTCCCGTGACCGCTATAGTGAACGTAATGTCATGCCGAGCCAAAGGTTAAATCACCATTCGCCAACCTACGGTACCTATGTCCGATCTGAATGCAATTTAGTGTACCTACCTAAATACACCTACATTAGTATTCATTTGGATTACTTGTTTCGATTACATTATTATTTATTTATAGTGTTAGATACGCTTCATGTTTGAAACTTGAAAATGAATGAACGATGGTTTTAAGTTAACGATATTTGGTCGTAGCAAGTTCAAATTGGTTGCTACGCAGGGGCGTAGCTAGTGCCATATTTGCCGTACCAATAATACTGGGCCCCGGATCACGGGAGGTCCCAACGTACGTAAGCAAAATTTATAAACACTTTCCAATTTTTATTTTATTTTGTTAGTCACAAAAGTTACAATAAACGATTTTTTACCCGCTTGAAGTATGCGTTTAAAGGCTGGCAGAAAATTTAGGAATACTAAAGTAATCATACAACCAAATACTGAAAGGTTACTCAATTTGAAGTTATAAATATCGTGCCATCTCCGTCATCACAGACATATGTATGTCATCTTACAAAGAATTTGTAGTGACAAAACTATAACTATGCATGTACGTTAATTTCAGTATTCGGGCTATTGTCCGATAAAGTTTTTCGGTTTTCACACAAATTATTAGTTTTTTGAGAAATCTTTACCTTTTTTTTAATTTTGCTTAAGGGTAGAATATCATCGAATGGCTGCTACCGCCTGGGTGAGGCGGGAGGGAGTGTCAGACTCGTACTGACTAAAAACCACCCCGTTCCTTCTCCTGCACGTCGAGCCTTAGCCCCGGTAACCCGTTAGGTTCTCCGCGACAGATCTTTACCCTACATGAGGTTTACCAGTTAAACTAAATTCTACTCAGGGCCCTGCCAAGGCACGCTACGCCACTGTTTCTACATGGTATTTTTTGTGGCTACGAAAGCATATTGCTATTGCAGATGTCAAATTAAAACTGTCTTCCTATGTTTAATCAGTTTTCAGTCTTTTAAGTACCTAATGCAAGTTTATAGCCATTTTAGACTCACATTACTTTCTTACCTCCACAAAAGAAAGGGCACAGATAATCTAGAAATCTGTCTATACGTGACGCTATTGATGACTTACAATAGAAGTAATTCTATTATTTTCGCCATATCTAGTTCTGTGTCGAACTTGCACTGAGTTTATTTCATGCTTTGTAGTCTAAATAAAAATTAAATTTAGTCCGCCCACGCAGGTCTTTGTGTTAATCTAGAATACTATTAGGGCTTACTCAACTGTTCAGAGAAAGACATCTATTAAAAAAAACGATGTAGCAATTGACGTATGAATGTTACTTTTGCTTTGTTCTGCTTTTGACAAGATGCTGAAACTTTTGGTACTGAAAATATGCAAATTGTTTATGTAATCATCGTACTACGCGTAAATTAAGTATTATGCTATTTATAATCAAAGTGACTGCTCGATAACATTTCTCATACTTGTACTTATTCAAAATTTCACCTTCTTTCAAAGTTATGGGGCAAATTGTACTTAGATAAAATATAACGATTAACTGAAAACTACAAACGGATTTCATTTTTCACAGATTTTTCACCAATTTATGTAGATTTCAGTTTCTGCATGATTTCACAATAGTACGGATCTGTTTTTTTTTTCTTAAAAAGCGTTACGTTTCAATAAATATTACATTTAAACATCGGCATTAAATAAATGTATTTGTGTCTACCATTGAAAGGAGTGTTTGCTACCAAAAGCTCTCTCTATTCGCTATATAGTTAAAACATCTGGAGAGTGGGGAGTGGGGACTACGCCACCGCGCAGTCGCGGCATTTACTTCCTAAGCGGTCCACTAGATGACACTGTGCAATGACGTCACATTCTGAATCGCGGTGTTAAGATTCTCCGGCGTTGAATGACCCTCGCGGCGCGCTCGGCAGAAAGCATACTTACCTGGCGTAGGGGATACCGTGATCATGAAGGCGGTTCCCCCAGGGCGAGGTCCTTTCATTGCACTGCGATTGGGTTGACCTCTGCGATTATCCCTAATGTGGATAACTCGGACGCGTAATTTTTGGTAGTGGGGACTGCGTACGCGCTGTCCCCCTCAGAAATCCTTAAAAATTATAAAAGTTCTAGTCTAAGATTACTCTTGAAGTAATTAAAACAATTTATTGTACCTAGTAGGTAGTCATGAAAAGGAAACATGATTATCACACTGAGAGAGAAACGTGGTATTTTACGGATTCGATTAGTTCGATTCAAGTGAAATGAAATATTATTCTAAATATTTTAGTTCTGAACCACTAATTAATTACGAGTGCGTACATACTTCTGTTTATTATTATGTACTATCGGTTTTATATAAACATCGATCTTATTTATCAAAGTAAACATTCCATTTAATAACCAACTTAACAAAAACATTAAATTGTTACCGAGAATAATGTACCATACATTTTACATTGCCTTCATGATCGTGCACACAAACCTGCCATTCTCTCATTATACACAATTACGCACTAAAACAACCGACATCCGTAAAACAACGCCCTGCTGAATCTATAACAATTAATCTACAATTTATAGGACCATAATGATTACATACAAAGAAAATCACCCCTACGACCTATAAAATAAGAGTTATAATCCGGATTTGACTGTGAAACTTGAATGTACCGCGATAAGAGTACTGAAGGACCTTGGGATTTGAAAGTGCACTCAGTAACCGGAACATAGACGTGGTTGTCCGTAATAAGTTCCAGGAAAGGTCTAGAATATAAAAAAGACACATTTTATTATGATATTAGCCTTCGTGATACGTTACGGGATTATTGCACTGAAATACCGTAAATCCCCGAATATATATATTCCATCTGATTGCGTAAAGCGCAAACTAAAGTTAGGATAGGGACTAATAACGAAGTCACGAGATCACGACAGACAAAGATTATCTGTTATCTATCTAATAAGTCGAATAAAAGTGTTCTTACTAAAGTACCAGTATAATAAAATAATGTACAATCATAATATTTTTAAAACAATACCTATGTAGAATACGATACGATCATGTATAAAACTATGATTTGCTGGTCCAAAAAAATAGCAAAAGAAACGGGTCTGATTTTATTGGTCGGGCTGATACTGAGCACCCACTCCCGGCCGCTATCCCACTACTGCCCGATACGGGGACTTTTGGCTGCTGGGTTTCCCCCCTGGCCCGGTGCGCCCCTCCTTAGTAGACCTGCATCCCCCAGACTCCTCCGGGGGATCCATATCAATACCAGGCTTAGTGTGGACGTCCAGTCAACATGGGCCACTCAGCACCAGAACCCCCGACCTCAAACCATCCTCCGGTTCCGACCTCCGAGTAGCCGGATTACAGGAGACGCCACGCTCCCAGTCGAAAGAGTGTCCGAAATTGTTGTACTCAACAATGTATGTTGTAGATCATTCAAAATTAATAAAAAATATGAATAAGTAACATCACTTTTTGAATTCAGTACATATTTTTTTATTCAAATATTCTTAAAATATATTCTGGAATCACGATTTTAGTTTAAATTTACATATTTTAACACAGCGCCATCTAAAGAAATGTCGTATGAACTATTTCAAAACACGTAGATAATAAAAGTGATACCATATAAGCAGTAGATGGCGGTAAAAGGTTGTTAAAATATTCATTTACATATTTTATTTATTACAATATACTCTGTAAAATTCTTATTAGATTTAAAAACACTTTACATTTAATTATTGTCAATTTTACGTTACCTAATAAATGAAGAAAATAAATATCTAAACAAGTACTATTTTGACAACCAACCCGATACAGCTGTTCAATTTGTTTCTTTTGTTTGAAAACTCAGCAACGGTGCATTTTGAATTTTTGAAGTCGTTTGCTATAAATCCGACTCAATATCGTAAAATATTTGTTTTAATTTGTAATTTGAGAGAATGGAATCTGCTGGTTTGCTGAATTATCAAAGGTAAGAAAGTAATACAAACTTTTTACTCCTCTTTTCGTATTTTGAACTTGCGCGCTCTATTGTATTGATTTTCCATCCAAAAATAAGTTAGAACGATGTAAATAAATCATAAAGCGGACCTTTAGCATTTTCTTAGCATTTAGTTAAACAAGCAAGCTTTCAGACGGTGTTTCAGGTGTTTTTATAACAGGATTTGTGTGTTTTAAGGAATAGTGTCGCAGATTCGTCCAGCTTGACACCCGTAAAGCCTAGACTCGGGAGATTTGTGGATGTTTACTCGCCTGAACATCTAAATATAACACCGCGACCTGTAAGTAATTTATTTATAGCGAAATTCAATAAGTTAGCCGATTGATTGACGAATGTTCTCGATGTATTTTGCAGAAACCGAAGCTCACATTTACTGAAGCCAGGGATGAGAGTCCAAATTTTATTACCCCTGAGAAATACATTGAAGTTGATTTTAAATGCAGGTAAGTAAATGTTGATATTGATGTTTACCTTTGACATTATCATTGACCTTTTTTGTAAACCATAATCTCTTTACATAATATTAAATTGAGGTGTAATCAGGTGTAATAGTTGTACAGTGTTTATTGTGAGAACAATGTTTTCAGTTGTTATGGTGAAATAAAAACAAAAGGGTATCCCTAGAGGAGGATACCTCTATCCCTAGAGAGGTATAGAATTGTTGACAAAGAAAGTGTATTGTAAAGTTATATTTGTTTAAAATCCTTAAAAATAGGTTGAGTTTATGATTGTGAGATTAGACAGAAACCATAAAATTCCTATAAGTATTTTCTACAGCTATAATAAGTGTGTTTATGTAATGTTTTATTGCAGAACTGCAAAAGCCCAGGATCGATACCGGAATGTGTTCAGCAACTGTTCCTTTGAAGGTAACCAGAGCTTCCCGCGCCTGAGCCGTAAGGTGCGGCCTATGACGATGGAGCTGGAGACACCCACCAAAGTTAAACAAACTGTTGATCTTGTGCGAGGTGAGTTGAATACTTCCTATTTTGGGCAATAATAATGTTCAGTGCCCAATTTGATTAACATAATATTTAATGTTTGTCTCATATGTGTGTGTAATACCTCATATGTGCTTGTTGTCCAATTGGATCTTTATAATTAAAGTAAAACTGTTTTAACAGAATTAACCCTTTAAGTACCGTCATTATAGACACAATTAAAGAACAATAGGTGTCCTCGCTGTGTTTGACAGTTTAAATAAAAACCAACATGAAAACCAGATTCCTGTACAAAATCATAATAGATGTTCTAACAATATTGTCTCCACAATACTGTACAAAATCTCAAATAATATTGTTTAATAAAATATGAATCTATTGTTAACAGTGGATGGTCCAAATGGGCTCAGATTCAACACATCTCTAGCACCTGATGTAGCAGGATCCCCTGCTCCATCCCAGACTGAGCGGCTTCAACAAACCATCAACCCTAGCAAGGCTGTCTTTACCATTGAACCTAATACTTTGAAGGTAAAATATACTATATTTATAACTAGCGACCCGCCCCGGCTTCGCATGGGTACAATATGCTTAAAACCTTCCTTAAGAATCACTCATTGTATTAAAAAAATCGTCTAGAATCTAGTTTTAAAGATCTAAGCATACATAGGGGTCGTGAAGAACCTAACGGGTTACCGGGGCTCCGGCTCGACGTGCAGGAGAAGGAACGGGGTGATTTTTAGTCAGTAAGAGTCTGACACTCCCTCCCGTCTCACCCTTAATAAAGGCATACAAAGGGACAGACAGACAGCGGATAGTGACTTTGTTTTATACTATGTAGTGATAGACTGTTTTTTTTTACATTTATCTTTCAGTTCAAAATTACTAATGTTGAATATTGCAAAATGTACAACTAAAATGAAAATAACCATTGTTCATAGTTCTCCATCTTCAATCTACATACATTTAAATCTTGGTTTTTGAGATTACTTCAAAGGCTTCAATCATCATCAACAGCCTATAAATGCCCACTGCTGAGCCTCTTCTCACACGGAGAAGGTTTGAGCAATAATCACCACGCTTGCTCAATGCGGATTTCAAACATATAATTCAGTAGAAATTATAAGACCAGGTTTCCTCACGATGTTTTTCCTTCACCGTTTATCAGTGGTGTCTAAATAATCTTAGAAAGTATATATAACTCGGAAAAAGTCACATTGGTAGTTTCCGTTGGTAGGTTTCGAACCGCACCCCCATGCATGAGAAGCGGGCGTTTTAATCCTCCGGGCCACCACGACACGATAAGGCATCAATACCATCTATTTACTAATTATTTTCAGATTCTCATAGTGAACAACAAAGCATGTTCCTTGCTCGGATATTCATCAGGAGACCTATGTGGACTTCGGTTCTCCGACCTACTCAGAAACAGGAACTGCAAGGCTTTCAGCTTACATGAACCAGAGGACTGTGACGCTTCTGAAGATGGAACCGTTGTTTTGCTTAGTGGAAAGGTATTTATTGTAAACTATTTGTAATTCAGAATAAGGTAGTTGCCAGAGAATTAAAATTAATAATCTAATCAGTCCGTCAGTTAGATGATGAAAAAATATTAGACACTTATTTTTTATTTTCTCGTATAAAGTTACAATACTTAGATAAAATGAAGGTAAATGTAGGAGTGGGAGGTCGTTACGTCACTAAGTGCTACAAAATGTAGAGTATTGTGACGTCACACTTTATTTCAGATTATTATATCGACGAAAGTATTTAATTTTGTGAGAAAAGAAAATATTCGTGTATAATGTTTTAAATTAATCTACCAGGCAACTACCCTATAGTCTAACGCTGAAATACTCAAACGCCACTCAATTTGGAGTAGTTCTGTCACTACAAATTCTTTGTATAATGACAGAGATGGCACGATATATATGTACAACATAAAATTGAATAACCTTTCAGTATTGGGGCGTTATCCTTTTAAAAGAATGAAAATTTATATGCAAAACTAATTATAGAAGTGACCTTTTGCTTCTATAAATAAATCTTCCCATCCTGACATTGGAACCAGCCTAATGGATATAATTTGTTAATTCCGGACTTGATTGTGAAATTCACCAACTAAATTATGTGAACACAATATACATTCAACGGATTTAACCACTTTATTAACTACTGAGATATTGCATAAAGAATTGCATTTGCATAAATGCTTCAAAAAATTCAAGTGCGGGAGAGCTATGTTTCGGCACGAATGGGCCGGCTCGAATTTGATACCACGGTCAAGCAGAAACCGACGTGAAACAACCGCTTGCACTGTGTTTTGCACTTGTAACACCTCTGGTGTGCCATAGGCGACGCCGATTCCTTACTATCAGGTGATCCATCTGCTCGGTTACCGGCTTATCCCATAAAAAATTCAACAATAAACCAGAATAATATGTTAAATAAAAATCGCAGGTTATTCACGTGAATATACTGAGAAAAGCTCTACTAGTTTCGAACTACAGAGGGGTTCTTCCTCATGAGCAGCGTGCGCGGTCACGGCGATGTCGCGCAGCCTAAACCCAACTAGTAGAGCTTTTCTCAGTATATTCACGTGAGTAACCAGCGATTTTTAGTTAATTTAATATGTCTTACGATAGTTATTATAAAAACACAGAATAATATTTATGTAAGCGACTTAATATTTAGATAAGTAACATTATGGTTGTATGCTTAATTTCAGGTAGTAGAACTAATATCCAAAGACGGTGGGTCAGTGCAAGTGTCTCTGTGGATAAGACAGCTGGATAATGATGGTCCGTGCTTAGTCGTCGCTGAACCTGTCAACTGTAAGAGTGTTGTGGTGAGTTGTATTTAATTATATTAAATTTTATTACTAATATAATACATTTAAAACTATAAAACTTAAAAACTACTTACAAAGGATATAAAAGAAAACTAAAAATAATTATTACAAAGAGCATCAAAAAATTTGTTCAATCTGATGTCAGCTGGGAAAGTACCCAGAAGGCTGGCAGCATTTCCCCATTGTATGGCAATTCAACACTGTTACTGTTACATCTGACCGGGGAATATATCAGCTTTCTTGGGCTCGCTGCCATTGCAGCGGTAAGTCCCCTCTTTGAGGAGTGGCTTGAGAGACGCTACGGCGTCCTCACCTACCGCCTGACGCAGGTCCTCACCGGACATGGAAGTTTCGGGAGGTACCTGTGTCTGATGGGGCGGGAGGAAACGCCCGGGTGTCATCACTGCGAGGACCGCCCTGAGGACACGGTGGAACACACCGTAGCGGAATGCCCTGCGTGGGCTGAGCACCGCCGTGCCCTCAGGGAAGTGATCGGCGATGGCGACCTCTCGCGTCCGGGCCTAGTGCAGGCCATGATGCGGAGCGAGGGGGACTGGGATGCCGTCTCCTCCTTTTGCGAAGCAGTCATGCTAGCTAAGGAGGAGGCGGGACGCGTGAGGCAGCGAAGTGCTGCCTCCTCGCGACCCAGCCATCGCGAAGGACACACCGGGCGTCGGGGATCGCGGGACGATCTCCGGCCACCGTAAGCGCGGGCCTGCGGACGGCGAGCATGGGTGGCTCCCCGTCCGACCAGAAACAGACCCGAGCGTACGGCGCGTCGCGTTCCGCGCGCGCCTCAAAGAGCCATCAGACCACCACAGTTGGGGCCCAATAGGGCCGATGCCGAAAATCAAAAATATTACTAGCAAGTTTACTATACATACATACGCTGTTTGAGTTTATATGAAACACATTGAAAAGGGTAATAATAAACTGAGAGAACAAACTTACTACTTGATCATATTATAACTTTAGACCTAGAACTTAAATTAATTTAAGCTTCACAGTTGACGCCATGACGCACGGCTGTCCGCTACATAATGTGTCGGAATTTCGATTCTTGCACAGAACATATGGTATGTGCGCATATTCCACAAACACTTCTTCTAGGTTTGGGTCTGATGTGTATGTATTTTCGTAAACACGGCCCAAGACAAAACTCCTGAAGGTACTCACCTATAACGGTTTATTTAAAAAATAATAACCTTTTCAACTATTTTCTTTAATTTTAACAGTTAACAGTAGAAGCGGACACGGGTATAATCTTGGCGTGTGAAGGAGAGTCAGCGGCCGCGTTGTTCGGGGCGGAGTCGCGGGACAAACTAGTCGGAGTACCACTCGCCTCTCTCATACCTAATGCGAGGCTACCATCTTATGACGCGCCTATGCCCAAGAATATGGCAAAGCAAAAACTGACAGGTACGTATTTCATATACAATGGAATTATTTCATGAACTAATTATTTCATATATTAATGGAATATACTTTATGGCTTTGTAATCGAATAAATGCTTTACTTAATTTATTTCCCTTCGGTTATCACAAATGTTTCTTTTATTCAAATTTTACTGCGTCTATCCATTATTAGAACCGTAAGATTTAAACGTCATTAAATTAAATTAACTAAAATCGCGGGTTACTCACGTGAATATACTAAGAAAAGCTCTACTAGTTTCGAACCACAGAGGGGTTCATCCTCATGAGCAGCGTGCGCGGTCGCAGCGACGTCGCGCAGCTCACTGAATTAACCTAAAAAAAAAAAACAAAAAAAAAACAGTCACATTAAATTACCCTTTAAAAATCAGACTTGATATTGATAATCCATATAATTTTTGCCAGGTTAAAGACATTGTAGTATGTTCAATGTTAATGTTATCCATGTGATATCGGGTTGTCTTATGTTCTTATATACCATTGTTGTCTAAGGATACAACTATTGGGTTACCAAACAATCTGAAACGTAATCAAATATCTTATTATTTTGTAGGTCGAACACTGGATGGTGGATGTTTCCCGCTCTGTCTGTGGATTTCGAAGCCAGACGTCACAGATAACTCGCTGTGGCCAACTGTATGTGGTGTCAAAACACATAGACCTGTGTTTGAAGTCAATGTTAGAGTAAGTGATTCACCTTTTATCTTATACCTATTTATACATAGGTATATGGCATTTTTTAAGGGGGGAAAATCATGGAATGACTGCTCCAGCCTGGGTGAGGCGGGAGGGAATGTCAGACTCTTACTGACTAAAAACCACCCCGTTCCTTCTCCTGCACGTCGAGCCGGAGCCCCGGTAACCCGTTAGGTTCTCAGCGACATTCATATAGGGCATAGTCATTAACTGTCCTTTATGATACATTAAAATCAAACTTAACATGTTTTTGAAATGTCTATGTACTTGATAATTGAAATAAGATCTAAACAAACACTGATCATAATACTACTATTAGCTAAAATATTGAAAAAAAATCATCTTCTAAGGTCACGGCTCCAACCCAGCAATAGGTAGATGCCTAATTTTTATTTTAATGTCTGTCTGGTAGATTATTTTAACTCGTTGAGTGCCGTCATTATAGACACAATTAAATAACAATAGGTTGCGGTCACCGGTGTGCTCGCGGTGTTTGATAGTTTACAACATGAGACACGTATTTTTTATTTTCTTACAGAAACGAATACTTTCGACGATATGTTAATTTGAAATGCGCGTGTCGTCACTTCTATGTACATTTCATACGTAGAAATGACGTTTTAGCTCCCACTCTTAAACTTCAATTCGTTATATCTAAGTATTATTTTATTATACGACAAAATAAAAATATACGTGTCTACTATTTTTTCATTATCCAACTGACGGACTAATTAGATTTTTAATTTTCATACCCTGTCATCATCCCTATTAACTTGTCATTGAAATATGATCTTTAAATCGTATTTCGTTTCAAAAAGCTTTTTGTATTGTCTCCAAAGCAAAAACCGCCGTGCCGAAGCCGTGTTTGAGCCGTGCCGGAGCTGTTGAGCCGGAGTGTGTGATGATCGTAATGCTAATCTAGAAACTTAAAACGTCGTGCTTGAGTATCTCACTTGCAAAGTTCCTGATTGGTTTTGTTTTTTATGGCATAAGCCGGTAAACGAGCAGACGGATCATCTGATGGTAAGCAATCGGCGTCGCCCATGGACATCTGGAATACTAGAGGCGTTACAAGAGCGTTACCGGCTTTTTGGGGATTAAGAGTTTGAGGATCGTTGGGGATTCAGGGATTGGGGAGATTGGGGAAGGAGAGGGTAATTGGGCCTCCGGTAACCTCACTCACACGACGAAACACAACACAAGCGTTACTTCACGTCGGTTTTCTGTGAGGCCGTGATATCACTCCAATCGAGCCGGCCCATTCGTTCCGAAGCATGGCTCTCCCACACTTGGTCTCCCATTCTTAATAATTACCATCGTATTTCCAGGTCACCTACAATGTCAGTGGTCTTCTAGTAGTCGACGAGAGTGGTATAATAACTGCTTGCAACCATCACTTCGCTATGCTGACCTTCGGGAAGCCACACTCTGAAGTTATTGGCCACCACATTGAGGATGTCATTCAAAACTTCTGCCAGGAAGCTGATATTGTTAAGATGCCAGAACGGAATAGAAATATGACTCTGTCTCCTGTTAATAATGATGATAATGGCTCAGGTATGTACTATGTGCAAGATAGTGCACTTCATCTTAAATGTTTAAAAAAATACTTAACCATTTAGTCTAGTCTTAGTCTTAGTCTAGCTTCCAAAACATGCAATTGGATTCCTAAAAATTGCAAATAAAATAATTTGAATACAAATTGAATTAGAGACATATTTTGTACGCATTTTTAACACAACGCCAAAGACATGTTGGCACCATTGCATTAACATAAAACGCACTTGAAATGGTACGTCTTTAAAACACCACAATTTCAATTGTTCTAGCATCAGACACAGACGAAGATTCATGCGGAGCATTCAACGGCAGTCAGAAGTCAGCTTGCATGTCCCTCAACGTCCAGCCCTCCATACTGTCCACGACGCGGGAGAAGTCATCCAGTGCACTGTGTCTCGACAAGTCCTGCAGCATGGTCACCCACACGCCCACGCCCACACAAGACATGGTCTCAAGCATTAGTACTACTGAACAACGAAACGACATATCCGCCCTGCCTGACGTCACTTCAGGGATGTCAGGAATATCTATAGATGACGAGAATTATTGTCACAGCAGCATATCAAAGTCTCGCTCGGAGAATATACTGCGGTCTGAGCAGAGCAACCCTGCTAGACCAGTGGCCAAGCCATCGGAGAAGTCTGACTCGATATACTACACTTCGCAGCATTCGCAAGAAGTGACGCCGACTGGAAACACTCCTAGAGTGAGACTCAACGATCCGTCTCTGAGATTATCATTCGATTCTAGCAAATATAGGTCTCTAAAAGCGAATTTACCTGGAAAGGATGACAAAACAAGTCTTTCTTTAGACTTCTGTGACTCTAATGAGACTAGTGCGGACTTCCTCACTCCTATAAACGAGATGCCGCCCCCTGGTTGTGAGATTGAAGACTTGCCGAAGCATAATGGTAACGAGAGCGTCGATAGCTTGAGTAATGATAACGATTTGGAGACACAGACTGAATCTGCTCCGAGGAAATTGTATTCAGGTGAGTTTGTTAAAATTTTTTTGGGTAATTTTTCCTCATAAATCGACTTGTAATAGGGAGTGAGCCTATTGCCAGATACCGGGCACAATTCCAGACTCGGTGTTACTACTGTGATGTTTTTTTTAAAACCCAGTAATACTTTGGACTTCCCACGACGTGGGGGTGTGTCAGAACCCTACCGGCTAAAACCACCGCGGTGTTCCTCCTCAGCCTGTGGCCGTGTCTGCCCTCAAAAGCTACGATTTCCTTCCTCGAGTGGCGCGCGGGAACACAACACTACCGCCTACTGCCGCCCACACACAGCGGACGACTGACTCCCCTTATCAGTCGCGCGCAGGTCTCTCCTATAAAGGATGTACAACTAATACCTCAAGGCATTAAGTCCGCCATTCACTATTATGTTTTGTGAAGAAGTAATAAATAAATAAATAAAAATAAAATATTTTAATTCCAATTTCTTTCTACAGAAGACGCACCCGAAACTCCCTGCGTAGCGAAGCGCATGGTGCGTACCCTAGTGATGACGTCGACCCCGCAACACGTGCGCGCCAAGCCCGACTGCGACTGCGGCGCCGACGGGCCGCGGGACGGGACCTACAGGGGGGTCGTGCTGCATAAGGACGGCACGCAACTTAGTACGTTCACTTCATCATGTTTCTTGTTTCTTTTTATAGCACAAGCCTGTTAAAGAGCAGACGGATCACCTGATGGTAAGCAATCGGCGTCGCCCATGGACACCTGGAACACCAAGGCGTTACAACTGCGTTACTGGCCTTTTGAGAATTGGTAATTTGAGGATTGTGGAGGATTCAGGGATTCGGGAGACTAGGGAGGAGGGTAATTGGGCCTCCGGTAACCTCGACTCACACGACGAAACACAACGAAAGCATTTTCTCTGAGGTATCACTCCGGTCGAACCGGCCCATTCGTGCCGAAGCATGGCTCTCCCACTCTTAAATGTTTTACTCAAGTTGTTAGATAGTTTATTATTGTTGTAAGCTTCTTTCTCGATGATCTATAATGCATATTTGGGAAAAGGAAGACGAATTAGTGTATCTATTCTCCATTTTTTATCTTAGTAACAGAATTTGCCATTTATATTTGTTTAAATAAATAAAGATAATATTTATGTTTACGTTATGAAGAGTAGAACCACATTTTACTTACCTTACATCAATGATTGAGTTATCGTTGATGATAAAATTTACAAGCTTACAGGGTTTCCGACAACTTAATCAGAATCAGAACCGAGTCTTAGTTCTGAACCGATTTACTAAAAACTGTCGATAAACACTAAGTTATCAATTAATCATATTAAAGATACAATATTGATTTGCGTCATGAGTGACTTCCGTTCATTGCGATATTTATTTAATCTTTCGACAAATTTATAATAACGTAAGGCCAGTGTAATGAGTGCTATGGGTTCAGTAACAAGTAAGTACAGTGCTAGAATCAAAACCAACTTTAAAACAAGTATCTTACAATATACAAGTTTGACTTTGTCCAGACGTGCTGTACACGGTGTCCAGTATGCAGCTGGGCGGGGCGGGCGCGGGGGGCGCGGCGGGGGCGGGGCCCGGCCCGCGCCTGCGCTGTGTGTGGCTCGGGGTACAGCTCGAAGATACACGACGACATACAACCCTCGCTTCCAGCGTCGCCTCTACTGCTGACAACTCTCTAATACTCGTTAGTATAAAATACTCTTCATTAGTTATCATTAGTTTCACTGCAGTGAATCTCTTTAAAGTGTGATCGATAATGCGCTACACAAACAATAAATTCAACCTTGCCACTATATACCCTGATTAGGATAAATATAACGATTTTTCTAAGATGATCATAAAATTTACTATCTATCTTCTGCATATTACTATCACTTTTATACAATTAATAATCAGTCTTAACTTTTATGTCCACGATGTTGCCAGGTTTGTTTATGAAAAATCTAATCATTGACAGGGTAACAAGTCGGCTGGCAGCAGACCTCAGTCAATGTCGCTAGTGAGCCAGTGCGGGGACGAGCAAGTTTCCGGAGAATACAACAAACATTATGTCACACTCAAGCAGATTGGTAAGATTTACTCTTATTGGATTATTATTGAATATATCCTGTATGAAAACATCATGATTCATAATGATTATTGTTGATGTTGATAGAAAATAAAATACTAACATTTGGTTGATAAGCAAGTCCTCCAGCAGTTGTCTTCTAATTCTACTTCAAGTTTAAATTTAAGTTACATCAAAAGTGGTTCAACCAATAGCGCGCTAATGATGAATGATCTGAGAACCTCATATTAAACACTATTATGTACTACAATTTTTATGTATTGTGTACATCAAAGATAAATAAATAATAATTTAAAACTAGCTTTTACCCGCGGCTTCGCTCGCGTCACAAAATGATAAAAAGCCAATGTGACATACCAACACACACAGCGCCATCTATACCAATACTTTTGTTTTCCCTAGGGAATATCACATTTTTCCGGGATAAAAAGTGCCCTATTATTTAATCCGGACTTCTAACTGTACATCTGCAAAAATTCAAAGCAATCGGTGTAGTAGTTACGGCGTTAAAGTGGAACAAACAAACAAACTCACTTTCCGATTTATAATATAAGTAAGGATTGGATTAAAAAGTATTGCGAATTCGAAAAATCCTTGAAACATTAAACTAAACCTTAGTGTACTAAAAAACTCTTCAACAAAATCTATTCCAGGTAAAGGAGCATACGGTTGTGTAAAAATGGCGTACCGTCGTTCGGACCGTCTGCTGACAGTTGCCAAGTTTATTCTCAAAGAGAAGGTGGGCGCACAGTTCTGGGTGGACGCTCCCGATGGACGACGCGTACCGTTGGAACTCAGTCTATTGCTCACACTCAAACATCCTAATATTGTGAGTATGTGGACAGTTTAATCTACACCGATTCCATTTTTGACAATAAGACCTCACTGTACGTGTAGTGAGCAAAACACGGTATAGAGCAAAAAGCCCTAAAAGCTCTGTTAGCGCCATCTAGTGAGCACAGAAATAATATCTCTTTAAATTTATCGTCGGATAAAGGAGATGTCCCATCATCAGCCCGTAGGAGTCATGCTGGACTATTGCCTCTTCTACAAAAATGAGGTTGTTCCATAATCTCAACATTTGGCAAGGCAAGCTAACCAGTTTGAGATGTCCTCTACCGAAAAAAAGACAAAAACTTCCACCTCAAACGGAATTCCAAATGGAATTGGTATAATCCCTATGCTTGGCAAATAAATTGAGGATTGCAGCTGGATCACTAAAATTTTAGGTCTTGCTACTCTTCTCTTGATACCTGGTGGCTTTGGGACATACCCAGATTTCATATTACCTATTATTTAATTTTATACTTTTTCTTTCAACAGGTAAGCGTAATTGACGTATTCGAGAACGAAAAATACTTTCAAATGGTAATGGAAAAGCATGGTGCAGGCATGGATCTGTTTGAATTCATTGAACGAAGACCAAGACTCGATGAGCCACTGCTTAGTTATATATTTAGACAGGTAAATATTATCAAACATGTACTTTTGAATGGATAACTTTATTATAAAAGATTGATATTCTAACATGGTTGAACTAAAATTCATTACATTAAATGATTATTAATTATATTTTACAGATAGGACAAGCAGTAGAGTACCTGCACTCCCTTAATATCCTACACCGTGACATCAAAGACGAGAATGTCATCATCGACAACAAGTTCCACGTCAAACTTATAGATTTCGGTTCAGCGACGTTCATGAGCAAAGACACGCTGTTCTCCACCTTCTACGGTACTACAGAATATTGCAGCCCTGAAGTTTTAGCGGGAAACAAGTAAGTGCTTCTGTGACTTCTTTAAAGCGTTTGACTATCTTAACTTTAAAATATAACTGTAAATATATATAGAAAATACATTGTTATGAAATTTAATTAATATGTATGTCGTCACATTTTAATTACGTTATCTTAATTTTACTTGGTTTGAATATTTCATAGGAATATACTGAGAATGTAATAGGAGTTCCTCAGGGCGCAATTTGAGGTCCACTATTCATTCAAACTTTTTTCCACAGATATGCGGGCCCTGAATTAGAGATGTGGTCAATGGGGATAACTCTGTATGTCCTCACATTCTTTGTTAACCCGTTTTCGGACATCGAAGACACAATACAGGGACCGCTAGCGTTCCCACAGGTGGTTTCTGAAGGTAAGATATGCTTTATACTTTTTCTACTAAACGGAAATTTAATTCCACGTATATATGACGATTCTTTGACTATGCATTGACCATATATCCATACTTTATCAAAGTTTTTAATAATAGAAATATCCAGTAATTAGTTCCTTGCTCAATCCAAACGTCTACTCTGAGATCGTTTGCAAAAATTCGACCAACAAAGCGACTTACTATTTTAATCCTTTGTCCCTTTATATGTAACGGCTTACTCACGTAACTTGACGAGGTAACTCGACTTAGTTTCAAGCCACGACAGGGGCTCATGTTCATAATTTTATGTATTCGTAGATTTGGAGCAGCTCCTCCGTTGGATGCTGTGCAAGGAGCCAGCCAGTCGATGCAGTATATCTCAACTCATGGCTCACCCTTGGATCCGGCAACCTGTTGTTATTGCCAACTATGTGTTCCATGAAATTGTGGACTGTGGTGAGTGTAGAATAACACATATTTATTACAATGAGCTTAAATATTTTTCCTACAAGGGACTTGCGAACATATTATATCCAGGCCCAGAATAAAAAGTAACTGGTTGCTTAGACATTTTCTAATCATATAGTTTATTTACACTTCTTGTTACAACATATTATTATCCTTAAGATTTTTAAACCATTTTTAAGGTAATAGCGCAATAATTTTTTATAAAAACATTGAAGACTATATTTTTTTTATAATCCTATTAGCTTTTACCCGTGGCTTCGCTCGCGTCACAAAAGGATAAAAAGTAGCCTAAGTGACATATACCAGTACATACAGCGCCATCTATACCAATACTTTTGTTTTCCCTCGGATATATCAAATTTTTCCGGGATAAAAACTACCCTATTATTTAATCCAGACTTCTAACTTTCCGTCTGCAAAAATTCAAAGCAATCGGTTTAGTAGTTACGGCGTGAAATCGGAACAAACAAACAAACTCACTTTCCGATTTATAATATAAGTAAGTAATAAGGATAATACTGTTTGCAGATCGGCATGAGGCGAATCCTGAAATGTATTACAGCGGCAGCCTTGGATCACCCCGTAGTGGATCTCCTGTATCATTAGCTGATCCAATGGTTAAAGGTTAGATCCTAATCTATTGCATGCTGCTTTCATATCTCACTTCAATAAAAATGAACGAAACGCTGTGCACACGTGAACTTCTCGAAACCAAAAATTAACCTTCCAAAAATGTGTGAAGTATCCGTTATTGACAAAATCGATCAATAAAGCAAAATAACCATTTACATACATACATACATCAACAGCCCATAAATGCCCACTGCTGAGCAAAGCCTCTTCTCACACGGAGAAGGTTAGAGCATTAATCATCACGCTTGCTCAATGCGGGTTGGCGATTTCAAACTTATAATTAGAAATTATAAGCCGAGGTTTCCTCACGATGTTTTTCCTCCACCGTTTGTCAGTGTCCGAATAATCTTAAAAATAACCATTTAAATATCCTATTTTTCTTCATATTCCAGAGCGCTCAAATCCATCAGAAGTGGCAATTCGGTCGGACGGCAAGAACTTATCTCGGGACGAGCCCAAGCGCAACTCACTAGCGCTCCATGCTCTGTCTACAGCCGACAGAGACGCGCAATCCGACAACTATAGTCTACGCTCCTCAGCTGATGTATGTAAATTAATGTAGTCGTACGAAGGATTGAACTAATGGAGTAATCGTGCATAATTATTAATGATTTATTAACTAATTAGTGTGTTGGGATTCGATATTTGCACGGTTCGCCACTCTGTTTTGACATATTAATGTTTTCTCTCTATAGACTAGACTTCCTATCCTAATAAGGACCAATTTTACAATCATCAGTAAATTTTTAATTGTAGAGGAAAATTGATATTTGACAGTTTTTGGTATTGAATAATTGTCAAATATTCAAAGGTTTCCCTCGTTTAAAATTATTCTGGCTTTAGAAAAATCGGCTCCGAGTTGTTTACCTAGCACTAATAACTCCATTCGTTCATTATCCGGGTTAATTTTTTTTTAACAAAAACGATGCACTTACAATTGTTTGTTTTTTTTTGAATAAAATGCGTTCTAACAATTGTATTTTCATTGTTTTTATGACGTAATATTAGTTTTACTAGAAAGGATTTATTAAAATGAGGGCTACCGATAATAATGTGGTGACGGTGGTGTATCGTGAAGTCCCGCCTGTCTGTTTAATAAAGAATTTGCTAGTGGCATGACTGTCAATTTTTGATACCTACCCTGCAGCTGTAGCCAAATGCCATTTAGCGCTTGTCTACATGTAAAAGAGAAAACCAAATTATATGGTATTGACGTAAACTTTGACACTGTAGACTAGCGCTAAAGTGGCGTTTGGCTAAAGGCACTGATTGGACACACAGAACCTAGACCTCAAGCAAAATTAACGCCGTCAAGTGATCATAATAAAAATGGGTGCCCTCATTGTCTACATATATAATGCAATGGTATCCAAATATTCACAGTAAAACGACTTTAACGTGTATTATTTTTAGGTTTATTATAATCATAACGTTACTTTTATACTTACAGATCCTGGATATATCATCAAAGCCGGTGTCAGAAGCAGCGCTAACAGACATTAGCTCGGACGCCACTGGGCACGCCGCCTGCGACATAGACTACGACTGCGACCAATACGAGTGTGACAGCTGGGACGAGTGCGAGCAGGACAGCTTCTCTTAATCGGACCTCTCACTCGCAACACAACTGGGTATATAAGCTCCGCCTAATTTGAATTCTTTGAATTTGAAAATACAAGCGTTGACCGTCTGTATTCCTTAGAGACTGTGACATTACCATAATGAAGGTAAATTGATGTTAAAGGAAGAAATCCTAATTGTTGTCAAGTAAATCCAATGTTAATGAGAAATCGTAATTTTGACATCGTCGTTATTTCTTAGCGATTAAAGTTAATTTTCCAATGTTTATTGCAGTAAGATTCTTTGTAAGAATCTAGAATCTTTTGACGTAAAAGGTAATGAATTTGCTATTTGTAATGACTAACTTATAAAAAGAAATCGAAATGTTGCTTGTAATTGTTGCAACATCCCTATATTTGATTTCCTATATGGTGTTCAAATTGAGATATTACTAAAATATATTTGACACACGGTAAATTCTTATTGTATGTATTATAATTAATTAATGATTATGTATTAATATTAAATTAATTGTCGTTTATGTGTTAATGTCAATATTTGATAATATCTTGAAATTGATTTTTAAATTAATTATTAATTATGTATTGTGTTCCTTTTTGTGCGAAGAAAACTAGACTATACCTGATGGCTAGGGTTGTGTCAGAATGTGTTTGTTTATAATACGAAATACTTTGGTCTATTTATGCGAAGTCGGATAAACTTGTTCGCAACATAATTCATTGAAAGATATCTACTTTTAAACAGTATTATTCTTAATAATATCTTCATTATTTCAAGCTGAGTAGTTTATTAAATTCAAGCAAAAATGAGACCAAATTCTATATATACGACATAGATTATCTTCGTAGTCATCAATTTACTCTCTATAATAAAAAGCCTGAAGAATTTTTAGTAAGTAAATTAATAAAAAATAATTATTGCTATTAAAATGATCTCAATTACATAAAATATTGAATGTTAGGAATTGCATCACTTGTTCATATCGCAAGCACCATGTGATTATATATTTGCGAATATTGCCATGTTTTACAATAATGTAGATTTAATTATTTACTGTAAACAGATTCTATTGCATCGTCTTCTATTATTCTTAATTTAAATAATATTTACGGTATGCTAACATTTCGAGCGTGCTCGATTAATTTCGAGCCAAAATGGGACTCATAATAATAAGTCCATACGCGACCAACTTAATAGTTTACGTTAAACGTAAATATTATTGAAATTAAGTATACCTCACGATAGTTATTAAACAAAGAAAAATATTCTGATTGTTGGAAATAAGACTAGATACACTTTAAAGTAGTGAATAAAAATAATAGCACTGGGCAGTCTTCCTATTGTTGACACTTGATAATGTAAAATATTTTATGATTAGGATTGCGCCACACTTGGCTGAACTTGCGTCCCAAAATGCGTTCATTGAAATCTATGCGCCTAGTGTAGCTGCACCTTATTCCCCTGTTACACATTCCCTCAATGCCATTTACCTCTCTTCCATACTTATTCTTGTTATTATATTTAAGTACGTACATTTAAAATTTCACTAAATGCACTATATTGGCTTACTTAGTTAGGTTTCAAAGCCACTTAGTGCAAATAAGCCAAAATCATATTTTGTTCTATACATTTGTTGTAGCCTAAGTATGGATGTCTTGTGCTAAGAATACATCTACATTAAAAAAAACAAGAACATTTGTGTGCGTCCTATCTCTGTAGGTGTACTTGAACACATACATGTAAATTAATATTTGTCGTTATTAGTAAGATAGCTTGTATTAAATAGTTTTAATTATCCATGATTGTACAGTGAGCTCTTATTGCAACACTATATCTAATGCATTCCAAATTTGCCAAAAACAAAACAAGAATTGCAATAATACTTCATTGTGACACATCTAACTCTTATGACTAAAATTACCGAAAATCAGTATTAAGACAATACTTTAGATTTTTCTTACAGGCTAATTTCTAGTTTTTAGTGTTATTAGATGTCCTAAAAGAACCAAAATTATTCATATTATTTGAATATCATTGTAAATATCATGAAGTAAATGTTAACATATCTGTGTTGGGTTCAAACTTATAGATCTCTTGGTTTACTTATAAAATTGTTACTGCGATTGCTCCAGTACAATTTTAAATGTGAGTTCGTAGACCAGTATTTAATTGATATAGTAAGGATTATATTTTTGTAGTATTTGATTTATATTGTGTTGATTTCAAATGTAGTGATTATTTATGTCCAGTGCGTCCGTTTCTTACTTAGTGCCTTACAACGGACGACGGGTTACGTTGCTCGTGTAGGACGCTGTGACCACTCATCGTAAATAAACGATATGAATTCCCTAAATGTCTTTTATTTTTTACAGCTCAGTTTTATTTTCATACGAATCCAATAAAGGACTGCCTATAAGAAGTAATAACAGAAGTGAGATATTAATGTTGTTTGATAAATTAGAAGATTATAATTATACCTATTATGCGGACACCAAGTCACCCCAAATGAGTGGGGCAAGAAGTATAATATGTAAATTGTTTGTTGAACTATCTAACTAAACGTTTGTCTGTTGATGAGATTATACATAAAGGCAAATCGCTTCTGAAAAAATATCTGCTAAAGGCGGTTACTTTCATAATTATCTTTACGGTAGGTACTATTTTTCTTGTGAATACCTTCGCTTTCTTATAAAAAAAACTAAACTTTCAGTCAATTTAATAAATCTAACGATGAAACGGGTGAAGAACAGCTTAATGTGTTTACGAAATGTTATATTTTATTAGTGTGCATATCTGTAGTCAGACAGAACAGAACACTCATTGCTCTTCTCGGACTTACAATACACAATCCTTTATCTTATCTATTTTAAGTCTGTGTCCTGCACATTTTGTCAATAAAGAACGTTATAAAAATGCAAAAAACACATGAAAAAATCAAACAACGATGGGGCCAAAAAGTCTAATAAGATTTTACAAATATTTTGTAATAAGAACTTCACAAAATCTACCAATCTTTTTAATTTTGACATTGACATCATTTTAGCATAAAATTTTAGCTGGCAAGACAAGCGTGAAAATGTCAAATTGCATGGCGGTGCGTCGCTTTTTTGCTAATCATTGCCGTATTACTACCAAAATACCCGTATTTACGCCGAAACAACAAAAAATACTCATTCGTGCTCATTCTACAACAAATTTTGTTACCAGCCAAAGAATATTGGTAAGTTATGCCTTTGTTTACATTGTTAACTTTAATACAATATGCGGCAGATTTTTACGATAAGAATTTGAATTTGAACTCATTGTCCTACTTATTTAGTGTGCCAGTTTCCCGCTACAATATTAAAATTTGATTATTTGTGTCAGCTTTAAAAAGATAAGTTTGATTAAAGATAAAATAACCTTAAAGTTGTTTGAGAAAAATTGTCAGTCACTTTGTAAGTGTAATTTACTAATTTCCGATAAGTGGCATATCCGTTAGATTGTGCGACTTATTGTCGACCTTATTTCTCCATCGATAAATCTCGTTTGCGCTGTCGGAGTGGGACAGTCGCTTAACTAACCATTTTCGCTATTGTTCCCTATTGAAGTCTTATTTGATTCTCATACAATTATATTGAATGTTGATTTCTAATAAGACATTGTGTCTGCCTATTTATGGGTCTGTTTGGATGTTTGATGAACAACCTTGTTCTAGTTGTGTCAATTTGTCTAATCGAATAAGTAATATATGATAAGTTCATGACTTTTATAAACAAACCCTATAAAAACTTCATTTGATTTACCCCGAAAAAAACTAAATACTTTTTAAAACAAATCAGTATCCGACATGCAATATGATTTTAGTACTACTTAGTGGTAATTAACTGGAAATAAATTATTAATTACAGCTACAAGAACTAACTTGAAATAATTGACCCAATGGGGGTAGATATAGATTTTAAAACACTACACGTCATTGTCTTTGCACACTCATTCTTGTTCTACACTCATGCATCATTACAAACTTGCATGCTGGTTGAGGGTCCTTCACACCTGTCCTATTTGACGGAGATGACATATAAGGTTAGTATGAAAACCTTTATGAAGGTTCCAAATCCTTATTCCATTTTATAAATGTTATAATCTAAGGTTTCCGTCATGACCGACTCTTGTTTGATTGTTCTATTATAATCAAAAGTCCAGTCACAGTTAATTAGGCGATTTTGAAACGTCTAAATTGAATTGTCCGTCTGCCTGTCACTGTAGCTAGGTGCATAATTTTATGGCACTTTACATGAGTGTTAGTAAGATATACTTAACATAGATAGTGTCTGAGTGGAAGTATGAAGAAATTGAGCACTACGTATAAAATTATCTCGAGTTGATTTAAACACTATAATATCAAAATTATCTAGAGTTGACTAGACACTATAGTATCAAATTATCTAGTGCCTACTTGTCACTAGTTATACATTATTATCTCCATACAAAAGCTAGTTTTATACCTAGAATCATCATAACTTGACTAAAACAATAGAACTTATTGTCAGCCTTCGCATTAGATGGCAATACTCATAATGTTTCCTTTGTACTGTCTAAATAAATAGTTCTATAAATTTTATGCCTTTTTTAATTTTATTGAACTGCCATATTGCGAATAATGACTAACATTATTTTTTTATTAGTGGTACAGATGACATAATATTCCTTCTAAAATGTATTTAAAGTAAATTTTCTTAAAAATGAACTATTTTACAAACCAATTACTGAATGTATAATTATTTTTTTATTTTATAATTTACATTGAAAAGTTGAAATAGTTCATTTTTGACTACAGAAAGTACTCAATTAAATATAGTTTATCTTCGAGTTTGTTTTCCTAGTATTGTAAAAGTACTTTTAGTTTAAGTTTTTTCATTTCATTTTCATTTATTTATTCATTTAACAATTTACATTGTGTCTGAATTTAATATAGGTACAAAAAAAGAGATAAGCAAATTCACATTACGAAAACATAAACACACACACAAAAATAAAACAATAGAATTTCATTAATTTAGGCTTCTAAGCAAGGCGGTTTATAAGTTCAAGAATCTAATCAATACAATCAATATACAGTTTCAGAAATTCAGAATAATGTCAAAGATTAGTCAAAATATAATGCACATATTGTCACACAAGTCGAGTGGCAGATAAGATATTTTACTTTGTGAATTGCTTTATTTTCTGAATTACAATACTCACATACTTGCTTTAGAAATGAAGTTATCTTTCTTATTATTACATAATTATAATAAATTCGTAGGAAAGTCAAAACTGTACATTAAATATTTTTTTTAAAGAAATACTTAGGGCGTGATCAACAATCGATATCGAAGCCATAAATATAGATTTTTGAATTTTCGTTTATTTGCCTGTATGTAATATGTAATTTTGCATGAATGTTAGTAACAGGTCGGGTCAACATATAGGCAACATATTATTACGCTATCACAGATCACGGGGTAGGAGCTGTAAAGAAATATCCAAAGTCATTAGCGCGGACAAAGTCGCGAGTTAGGACTCAATAATCGTGAAAACTTGTAATTATTTTTTTGTAATCACTTATCACATTTTTCCTAATCATAGTTGTATTTCATGCGTTTGGTTTTCCATGTATTATAATTATAAACAAACAAATAATAGCAAAACGCACAAGCTTCTTGAAGTATTAAATCCTAAGGATCATTTAACCAAATATTTATGTCTGATACTAAAATCTGCACAAGATGAAGATTGAATGCGACTCAAAGCGTTTTTATCGTGTCGGTTATTGAAGATATACGAGTCAACCGCAGAATTGTAAATAGTACATATTTTAGTATTCGTACAAAAAAATACAAAATACCAGCTCCCACCAACGACTTAGAAATATCGAGATAAAAACTAAAAAGTAGTATGCTACATGTTACTCCCTAAAGTATAAGCAAAGGTATATTAAATTTTCTAATAGGTCTAGTAGTTTCGGAGCATAACTATTCAATGTAAATAAACAGACAACCAAATCGTTCCTATTTATGATATTAAAAAAAGTAATTATTATGTTTTCGGCTTACTCAAGTAACTATTTGACGAGGAACTCGACTAGTTTCAAGCCATGCTAGAGGCTCATATTCATGAGCAGCATTTCGCGACACGCGAGGCGGCGACTGTGGCGCGTCGTCGTCAAACAGTTACGTGAGTAAGCCTAAAACATAATAATTAATTTAGTATGTCTCACGAAAATTATAATAAAAATTAAAAAAGTATGAAACATTTATTTATAAAACAGCACGTTTTGTTATCAAACATTCGCCAGTATCATGTCTATCTCAATGTGTACAGACTCTTGCAGTTATCTCCTATTTGCTCCAGTTATCATTCGGTCGTGTTCAAGTCGCAATACATTATCAAATAATAACGAGCACCCAGTGTAGCATAGTGCACGTACGGATATTATTATATCAGTAACTTTCACCGATTTCGTAACTAAATATAACCGCCACACGTAAGTTCAACTATAATTAGATTGATATTAGATTTTAGACTTTAATTCTATTTTGTTAGTCTCTTAAATAGAATAGTTCAAGTTAGGTGTAGAATTTCGGTTCCGACCACAAGTATCCAATAAGCAAAGTGTCAACATGTCCAATATGCATATCTGTGGAAACTTTAATAAAATCAGATTTGTATCGTCCTTTAGAGAGTTTAGAGTAGACCTTTAGTACCAAGTTCGAATTATTCCGTTTTTATTCCGAATTATGGTTTCCTCTACCCATAGGTACTTGATCTTGCAGAACTATAAAATATCCTTGGACAAATCTCACTTCTTGGTCATGCTAACGATGCTAACGTTTTGATCGAAACTTTAAAACTATGTGCTTCTTTTTACCTTCAGGCCATATTCAGACGGCAAGCGTTAAGTGCACGTTTTCTGAACTCGCATTTACAACTACATACGTTTTGCGCATTTAATCCAACCCTGTAGCCTGCCCCAACTTTACCGGATGCTTTTTTCTGATGTTCCGACTGAATGTGGTATTTTTCTTTCGGACAAACCTTTTTTTAACAATAATGATTATGACAAAACAAGAATTACCCAATTTAATCAAGTAGTCCAGGAGTTATGCACATTTCGGTGAATCATTTTTATAGATAGTTACTACGTAACTAAGCATGTATGACACTATACCACTAATCTACAGTAAAACGTATTTTTCTCAGGAATTTAACAAGACTGCACCGGCCAGTCGGGATGTCGTGGGCGTAATCGGGCCCATGATCTTAAACTGAGCTCTTTGTTAATAAAACCCGATTAATTTAACACGTAATTGCGTACGATAACTAACTTACAGCGACTACGAATACTACGATAAGAGTATGTGTGCGTGTCGAATTCTGATAGACATGCTTAGATTTACGATGAAAAACAGAACAGATTGTTTCAACGACTAGATCCATGAAACAATAAATATCTGTATAGATTATTAAATTTATTAAGTTTTGCCTTGACTTTGTGCGTGTGTAAAATTCCTGTGTGCTTGCTTTCCCTAAGGAAAAGTTTCATTATTCGTTTCGGTTACTGTTGTCTGTGAAATTACCAGTTTGACAGCAACTAAAAGGTTTTATTACGAAATTATAAAACTTAAATACTGTAGTTACTGAGTTTCAATAACCGAAACTGGCCAAAAGTTAATAAAATCTTGCAAAGATTTAAAAATAAATGAGAATAGTTAAATACAAATACTTTTTTAAATAAATGTAATGACTAATTCTATGTAAATACCCTGGCAAGAAAACAGTAAGTACAGTAAAATTATTTTTCCGCGTTTTGTTTCGATAATGCTTTTGGAAAGCCTATGACGAAACACGAATGCGAAATACCTCCCTTTGTTTAAACTAGATCTTAGAAACACATTTGTTATTAGCATAGGGACATCCACCGTACTATCTACATCGCATTTTGAAATTACTTTTTTATCGATATCTCCACAAATAATAAAAAAAGAATTATGTGCATGTTCCAAATTTTTTAATGTATATTTTATATTTTTAAACAAAATCTTCAATTTCAAATATTTTTTTTTCCCCTCTTTGGCAAAATTTCAAATATGTGTCGATATTTTAAACTGTCAAACACCAAACTGTCAAAAACCAAATTATATGGAAATGACGTAAATTTTGACACTTGTCAGTGTCATCCCCATACATTTTGATTTCTACTCTCTCTGTAGGCAAGCGCTAAATGGCGTTTGGCTAAAGGCCCTGTGCCTTATATCACAATATCCCATATAATTTGGTTTTCTCTATCTAAATCTATTCTACATGTAGACAAGAGCTAAGTGGCGTTTGGCTACAGCTGCAGATCGCTTTGCCTTCTGTCAACTTACAAAAGTTACTTATTACTTCTTGAAAACATAAAGACCTCTGTTTTAGACATTTTAATATCCTGAATGTGATATTCTCAAACCTCTATCTCGATTTTAGCACAGCGCACTTTAGAACGACCCTTTCTTACTTTTTAGAAAAGTCTTCGTTAGTCTGCAATCGTTTAAACTAAACTTTTTCTGTACTTGTAATAATAATATTGTTATTAATATTCATACAAGCAGAATAATTGAATTTTCAGATAGGTAGTTACTAGAATAAATCATAACGGTAAAATGAAATACAGCTCGTAACGTACAGGAGCAGTTGAAAAGGGCTCGTTTGGCAGCTTCGACTATTCCTATTTCTGTTTCCAAACAACATTACTGTAATCCGGTTTAAGGAGCAAGGACAACCTCAGCTTGAATATGCATAAGCCCGTAGTGTTTCACAGAGGTAGTGGTTTCAATTAAAATTTTCGCAGAGTAACTAACACTAATTCTATATAGTTTTTGCTACATTTTAAGGCACAGCAAAAAGTTCGTTAAGAATAGTTTGTTCGCAACTTGATTAATCGGTTTTGTCGAATAACAGTAAAATTCACTGGAAGATTTTTTACTCGATTACTTAGTGTTATATATTTTTTTCGTTTCATAATCAATTTATAATCACGCCGTTTTATCGCACGTTCATCGATCGGTGTTAATTAATCGGCGTCTTTAGGAATATTCTTTTCAAACAAACCTGTTTGGTTGCTAAAAAAAACTTAGTTGCCTGTTAACAACCAGAAAAAAATAACAAATTCACCCACGTCAATATTTGATAGAAAATAACAAGAAATGTCTTTGAAGAATAGTGAAGTATTTTCGGTGTGTCGCCAGAAAGACGATAAAAGCTACAACACGGTTGGTTGGCTCCGATGGTGTTACCATATAAGTCGTTGGTTTCCCCGAAGGCGGCCAGTCTTTACCGAGTGTTAGAGCGCGCAAGGTTCGCCATGCGTGTTTTTGAATATGCGTGTGTTGTGTCAGTGTGTGCGTTGTTGCAGTGCGCGCGCGCATCCACTTCAGCCCCGGAGAAAACAATAATGGCCTTCTCGTACCCGGAGGCGAGGAGGGATGACAGCGTCATCGATGACTACCACGGCACTAAGGTACTGTATCATATTCTAAATATAACATTTATATAGTCCTCATTTATTTATAAACAATTTAACAATCAATATTCATCTTAAGCTTGATCATAATTACTTGTACACATGTAAAATGCATGCAATAATGTGTCCTATTCGCTCGTCAATAAGGCACGAATGTAGGTAAACAATGTTGTAAACAACTATTACAGGTACAGTTTGATTAGCGCATTAATTGTCGTAATAGACGACAACAAGCCATGATGCGATGGTACTAAATTGTTACGACTTATGAGCGATACAAAGCAACGTACGACTGTGCTATTGTACTGTTAATAAACTATAATTTAATACACTAATTATCTTGTAGTAACATACCTTTCCTATGTGGACATGATCTAAGTAAATTTTATGATCGCATTGCTCAGTCATAAGGATAAAACTAAAATAAATTTTATACAAATAATAACATGAAGAGTCGTGAGGGAACTGCTTCAAAAGCTCGTTTTGCCGGCCTATTATCATAAATACGTGTTTACGTATCGAGTACCTTGGAGGCACGTAATTTCCATATAAATCGATCGACCCGCTAGCTAAGGACAGTGCACTGCATCCACAAATAAAAAGTAATACATAATAACATTTTTTTTAAACTAATTTCACGGTCAAACGCTTTCGTTATGATCTTATTTCTGTAGTACGTGTCATAATCGTGTCGATTGGTTTTCTAACAAGCTAACAAGTTAGTACCTACATAACATAAATATATAAGTAGTTATTACCTCTGTAATAAAGTGTTTTGTCAGTCCAAGTAGTTTTGCAAATGCAAATATATTCCACTTCTATTTTTTTGTTTATATAACATTAGTGTCCTTTGTAATATTTGACCGTCAATGTTAATACTCATTTCTGCCAATTTACACAAAACCTTATTAAGTTATGTGTTAAAAAATATTCTTCCTCGTGGAAGGTTCCTTGTGTCGTGATTCACTTTGTATAGGTACTAATGTAAGTCGTATGAAAATATGTTTAGTCGTTTTCGAGTTGGGTAAAAATTATATAGTAAATATTCGGAACTTGAAAAAGGCAAGTGTAACTGGAAGTATAAAAAAACATTTATTTCGGACATCTAAGAGATCCATAAAATTAATTAATATCTATACCATACATTATTAATACCATACCATCGCAGTCATACAAAATTTAGTCAAATATCATAATTACATTAAAATCAGTCATACTTAAAACTTAAAGAGATGTCAACATAGATTCAAAATTTCAACCAGACAGAAATACATAATTATTATTAAACTAAATTATTAAATAACTCTTCTCACAAATGACCTCCAGAGTGGGGATGAGAATCTATCCGCCACAGTCTCATAATAAAAATGTAATGTAAACAGGAAACCGAAAAACATGTAGCGTTTTCATGCTAACTAAATAATGTACCATAGTAATCAAATCAGATAATAGAACTCGCAGACTAACTAACAATTAAGTGTAACCTCTAGCTTGGTATCCAAATTTATGATTGCTAATTGCTTTGACTTAGATCCGGGATCAATGTTCTGTTCGCAGTCGAGGGGATTTTTTCATTAACAATTCCTTACCACGTTTTTTACTTAATTACTAACTGTTTGTATGAAGTAAATGGACGAAACTATTAGTTTGATTGTATATAAAAATCAACGATCGATTCACAACTTCACGTTTTAAAATACGTAGTGTATATAAAATCTCAGCTATTAAACATCGGTGACGAAATGTTTTGGTATGTAACATTCTTCATACTTTTTTACTCTAGTGGTACGTCTCTTCTTACGGGTCTACCCCCCGTCCTTCCCAGTGCTTATTCTTAAGAGTCCTAAAAATTACTAACAAAATGATACAAAATAAAAATTGTTTAAAACAGGAATGGCATGTGCGGGGAAGGGAAGTACTTTCTCAATAACAACAGGATTCCCCTTATAGATACCTAGACGGCAAACGGCTTAACTTAGAGGTCAAATACTTAAGTAGGGTTATCAACAGAAACGGAAAAATCAACCGTTGCTATCATCAAAAATTTATAAAATAACCACACAAAAATAAACATGGAAATCTATATCACGTTGCAGTATTTTATGGCTAAAACAGCTATGTTATTAACACTCAAAAGTTCAAAAAACTGAATATCGATAAACCCGTTTTAAAAAACGGTTTTCGCGGACCTAATGTAATCAGAAACACGGGTTCTGCAATTTTAGCTTTCAATTTATGGTCTCTAGAAGCAAAGATAACTGTACAGATAAAAAAGAAAATGTTTAAAGTTAAAACCTCCTTCGTGTGTTATCTCGAAATAAATGTAGTGTGGCCAGTGTTATTAATGTCCGTGTTTTATTAAAACTTTTTTTTAAGTCACGATCGAATCGCGAGTCGTTCCGAGTCCATCTTTTTTTTTTGCTTGGTATCCTGATGTGAGCAAGCACAGATGTATGAATGTTTCTGCGGTCTGAACAATGACCCTACGTCATCAGATTGTTGTAGGTATTGTTTTTGACGTCAATCACGAATAGTGATTTATTGGCCGTGCCGCCACGCTTCATAGAATGCCTACTAAAAGTGTACAGGGTAATCAAAATGAATTCTGTATGAACATAAAGATTTTTCTGTATTCAATAGCTGTTGGACTAAATTACTGAGCTAAATGCACTTACATCCCAGCTTTTTTCCGTACCACTGAATCGAAGAATGTAAGATTTGTCTAATCTATATTCAGTGTCAAGATGAGTGATTTATTGAACTACCTTTTACTTAATTCCCCTGTTACTTAATTCCTAATGAGAAATTATAATATCTTGCCAAACGATGTTTTCATAATTATCATCCTACTACAAAATTACTTTAATATAAAAACAGCTTCTTCGATAAAAACAGCGTCTTGACAACCCTACCTTTCTGAATAAGTTTACCTTGTATTAAATATTCTCTTAGCATATCGCGAACCTTTATAAAGCCTTGCATAGGGTAAATCGCAAAGGTCTGTTTTTTAATAGATATTTCTATTCACAATGCAATAGGCTCACGGTCTAATATACAAATCACAAATACTTCATATATTTTCCTTGACGTTTTCTATTCAAACACTATTATTGGGGACACGGATTCTACCTGTAGCATCAAAATCTAAAAAAATAACCCTTAACCTTTCTCAAGAATCACATTTTATATTAGTGAAAATCATGCAAAAATTAATCTAGTAGTTTTTGATTTTATTGCGATCTTATTGACTGACAGACGTGAAAGGGGATATCTTTGTTTAATAATTAGGGGGAAAAGGTACCTCCCTGTACCAACTTGCTTACTACAACATCTTTCTTTACTGAAAGGCAACTGCTGCAGATGAGCACGCACATAGATAGAACCTAGGATAATAACACTATGAAGTGGCTAGATGTGGACCGCAACGTTTTTGCAAAACTACGTCTACTACCACGTAAAAATTAAAAAAATGTTTAACAAAGCCCGCATCTAAAGTTAGCGTTATGTATGTACGTACATAACAGACTGCATATAATTAACATCGTTTTGCCGTTTCACAAACAGAGAATTGTCTTTTGATTTTTATGCGAATTACATACTTTTGTAGTAGAATTCAAACAAATATTTAATATTTTTTGTTATAGGTAATTAGATACCAAAAAATCTTAACGGTTTGCAGTTTTTTTCCGTGTTTATAATGATGTTAGTGTACCTAGATGTTCCGACCGTTAATTTTTATCCAGTATCATTATTAAAATATTAATTTAAAAGGAAAATAATCATTTTGAGATTACGGAAGTTGTAAAGAATCGTCTGAACGCAAAAATGCTATCAATAATTATGCATTTATCCCATATTAAATTCTAATATGTATTTAAATTAATAGTTTATACGTAAGTGGCGTTTTTATTTATATTCAACCTTCACGTTTTTGTCAAAAAAACGAATACTTTAAATATAGTTTTCCATTTTGATTTTTGCATACATTTAGTATTATTTTCACCGAATCAATGGCGTAACTGGCATGAATGAGTATTGAACAAACAAATATCCGTATCGCATGTAATAATTAAATCCACGTGTATTGATTGAATACAGGTATCGTTTTGTGTTTGTAAACAAGTGCACTTTATTTCCTGTTACCGATAAATCGGTGGGGCCTCAATAATACTCAGTTACTGAATAATAATCGTGTTTCGTGCTAAACGTTAGGTCAATTATACTACATATCATAGCTTCTGTCAACTGTTTCTGTCCGCCTATGTGTTACACAGAGTCTATCTACCCGTGTACTAATTTTAATTCAGATCCGTCGAGCAATTCCAACGTCATTGAGTATCAAACATCCATCGAAGTTTTCACATTTATATAAATGCATTATATCCAATCTTTTAGTTAATCTGTCTCCTATTTTTTTCACAGATTGCTGACCCTTACCGCTGGTTAGAAGACCCGGACTCTAACGAAACCAAAGAGTTTATAGATGCAGAGAACAGAATCACAAGGCCATACCTAGACGCCTGCCCTGTCAAGGGAAACATCAACCAGAGACTAACAGAACTCTGGAACTACCCTAAATACTCATGTCCCTTCAGAAGGGGGAATAGATACTTTTTCTTCAAAAATACTGGTCTACAGAATCAAAAGTAAGTTGTTTTTTTTATTGTAAAACGGACTATTATACCTCTATCAATGTATTATAGTTGGGAATATTACTAGCTTCACTTATAATTTTTTGTTGTTAGACGTTCAAAAGTGCCATCCTGGTCTAATTGAAATAAATGATTTTGACTTTGACTTTGACTTAGGCGTTCTGAAAGAATTATTTAAAAAAATATACCGATAATATCACAGAATAAAATCACATTCATGTAAACGAAACCTTACTGACCACTCCATGGGCAGACAACCTTTTTCAATATTTGTTATCCTTGTAAAAATTTCCTCATGTCAGTCAGTAGCTTTCCTTAAAACTTAATTTAAAGAGTACATTCGTTGTTGTTATTGACGAAACAATATCCTGTTTGTGTCCAACGTTTCGTCGCAAAAATATAATAATATTGTGATTGCATAATAGTCATTAAGTCAACGTGAAAGTGATTCCGGTTATGCTTATCCTAGTGGATTTATTAGAAAGCGTCAGTCTCTAGACAATATATTATTTAAAACCAAAACTTGGGTAGAGTTCTTAATTAATGAAGTAAGCTAGTGTGTACCACGAAGTGTTAAATCGGTCTTTTATAATTGTTTTCATTTATCGTTATCCGATCTGGGCATTGAGATATAATGACGGCCCTGCCATTTATTTATTTATTTCAATTAAATAGTATAACATTACAGTCATAAAATCAAGGCGTTAGGCCATGTTTCAAAGTTAAGTTAAACCAAAATGTGAGACGACTTAGGCCCAATTTTTCAATGCTTAGATAAATTTTAACTGAGGAATATCTTTCAGTATTTGACAATTCTCCCATACTAAAAACTGTCAACTTTAATATACAGTTATAAATTAATTGACGATTGAAAAATTGGCCCTTAACCTCTCGGAGACAAGCAAATAAGCAGTAACCTACTGTCTAAAATAATATTCTAAGTCCGAAACTCTTCTTAAATCTCACCTCAAATTATAATGCAACGTATGACTTCTTTCCAGTGTCCTATACGTACAAGATAGCCTTGATGGCGAGCCCCGGGTGTTCCTCGACCCTAACACGTTGTCTGAAGACGGCACCATCGCACTCTCCGGCAGTCGGTTCACGGAGGATGGCAACACCTTCGCGTACGGACTGTCAGCTAGCGGCTCCGATTGGATCACTATACATCTTAAAGATGTTGCCACAGGTAAAAAATAACTAATCTACATACCAAGGTGACTATACATTTCGTAGAGACTGTAAACCTGAACCTTTTACATTGGGACGGCCAAGTTGTCTGCCTAGTGTGGAGATGAGAAACGCTAAGGTACAGGTGGCCCGTAGTCGAGCAGGGGGACTGTTACAAGCTAATTATGAAGATTATACCTAAAATTACGATACTTTTTTCGAAGGGGGAAACTCATCCAACTATTTACCCCGCCTTCGGTGAAGTGAGAGACAATGTCGGACTCTTACTGACTAATAGCCGGGTGTTTATATTTTAGTCTCCGAGCCGGGGCCCGCTAGATCGTCGGCAATTACCTAAAGTACTAGTAGCAGAATAAAATACGATAAAGCTGAAACAAATGTTTCTTTCCTCCAGGTGAAGATTACCCGGAAGTCTTAGAAAAAGTCAAATTCGCGTCAATGTCTTGGACGAAGGACAACAAGGGACTGTTCTATTCCGTGAGTATTAATACATACATCGTTAAAAAGAAAAAAAAATGTTTCTCTTTCCTTACTTTATGTATTCAGGTCTCGTATACATATAAAACATAGTAAATACGTGTCTGTACGTCATTGAACGTGCTACTAATATTAATTTGGTTCTTTATTTCTTTTCCTAAGAAATTGAGGAAAATGTTGCTTTAATATGTTTTTGTTTTGCATATCTTATGATGAGACTTGCCTGGCTAGTATCTGATTTACAATTGTGTTGTGGTCTAATTGTGTGGTCACGCATTCCTAATTTTATATTATTAAAGTAAAACAACATCTTGTATTCTTTGATTTTTCTTTTTCTTAACTTATACAAAACTGAAGAATTAATTTGAGTTGTTAAGTAGGTAAGTTTAAAAAAATTAAAACTATTTTTATTGCAAAGTATTATGGAACCATAGTAGAAACCCCGTGAAATAAGATAGCTTTATCGTAATAATGGCTCAAATGCAGCCCATGTGTTATTCTGACTCCTGAAGTCCTGACTATAATATACCTAAGCCATATTTCGTTTGAATCCATTCAATACTTTTTGCATGAACGAGTAAAATAGTGGTATTAAATTGAAACTTATGTTACAGCGGTACCCAGACCAGGCGGGCAAGACTGACGGCTCGGAGACTGAAGTGAACCGCGACCAGAAGCTCTGCTACCACCGACTCAACACGCCGCAAGCTGATGACGTCATCGTCGTCGAGTTCCCCGAAGAACCTCTGTGGAGGATGTAAGTAAATACCTATATTAAAATGTTAATCTTCTTTTTCTTGTATGTAAAATGAGGCTAAAGGTTAAATTCCATCGTTTATTTTTTCTTATAAATTCTTTGATAATAATAATAAACTGAACATAATATTTTCTGCTCGTTTTTATGCGAGATGTTCTGATTAAATATTACTATGTAGATATTGTTGATGATTGTTTCTTTTTCATACATTCTTCCTTGTTCAAAGTGTAACGAATACATTTTTGTTGATACAGTGACACTCATACACAAATTATTGGCGAAGAAAGACGAGCGTAACAATTTTATTCAACGTTTTTTCAGTAACTTGTAGTACATGTATATCTAAATGTAGTATTCGTTGCTTTTTGTTGCACTTTGAACAAACTTTATATGCTCATACTAGTTATTTATTTGGTAGGATATTTCATTCCGTATACATAGGCTATTGTAATGTAATTTAAGCTAATTTAGTAGTTAAATATCGTAATGGAGGTGATTGAAAATAGTACTTAAATTAGTGTTTTTAAATTACAACTTAGGACTTATTGAATCTAGATAGGTATCTAGAAGTGCAGTTTGTAATAGAGTAATGTAATAACTTTCGACCTATGAGTAAGTATTAAAAATGTAATATTGAAAAGTATTAATTAAACATGGGTCCACACTGGGTCCTATATATTATACCTACATTTCAACAATGTAACAACCATAATACATAATTTATCCAGCGGCGCGGAGGTGACTGACTGCGGCAAGTACCTGATAGTGTCCCCGGTGAAGGACTGTCGCGACAACTTGTTGTTCTACGCAGACCTCACCAAGCAACCAGAGCTCAATGGCAAGCTACACCTCACGCAGATCGTGCACAAGTTCGAGGCCGACTATGAGGTAATTAACAAGCACAGTTTGTTTTTTGAAATAACATTGCCCCACTCTAGGATTTTCTCCTATGCCGTGGGTGCACATGACACCCAGATCTGGAACAACAATTTGTGGATCACACAAAGAGTTGTTCCGTGTGAGAATCGAACCCAGTACACGTTGCGCGGCAGCCGGTTGCTCAGCCACCGCGCCACCGTCCTGTGAATGATAAACGCATCGTCGCCTCAGTGCTTTTTTGTACTATGTGCCAATTTTTCAGAAAATGACTTTTAAATACAGTTTCGTTAAGAATCAAATTTCAATCCTGCTGGTTCAGAAACATCATGTAAAACCAGCAGACGGATCACCTGATGGTAAGTTATCAGCGGCACTCGCAACACTCGGATTATCTGATGTTAAGCAATCAACACATCCATGGACAGCTTCAACACTGAATGAGTTAGAAGAGCGCTGTTAGCGTTGGTGTGGCTTTGGAAGGGGGATTGAGCCTCTAGTTACCTCATTCCCACAGCAAAACACAACGCGGGCGTTGTTCCACGCCGGTTTTCTGTGAGGCCGTGATATCACTTCAGTTGAGAGGGCCCATTCGTGCCAAAGCATGGCTCTGTCACGCCATATTGAATTGAATGAACGTGTAGAAATGTTTTTACCATAATTTGTTATAATTTCAGTACATCACAAACGAAGGCTCCGTGTGCATATTCCGCACAAACAAGAATGCACCAAACTACAGGCTCATTAAGATCGACCTACACAACCCCACCGAGAACAACTGGGAGACACTCATACCTGTAAGTTAACTATTTATTATACACCTTAAACTAATGAGTATACAGTCGAATTAGCCTTGGAGATTACAACCAACTAAACTTATTTTAACATAAATCAATCGTAGCAAAATCGACTTTATTGTTACTTTATAGAGTTCTATTTATTTTATACTTTTGTGTTTATGTTCTAGGAACACCCCAGCGACGTGTTGGATTGGGCATCGGCTGTGGACAACGACAAGTTGGTCATTCACTACGTCAGAGATGTAAAGGTAAGTTAACTTGCTATTTAAACGCGTGGAAAAGGAGGTACAGCTATAGTCAGGGATTCAAAATACAATTTGTTTTTTTTATCTCGCTAATAAATTATATTAAACGTTATACATGAATTCAATATCATTTGTTATGTCTGTGGAATGCAAAACTTTGGGTCTTTCTCGAACATTACACCTTTTAAATAATTCTATTAACCATCTAATCAGTATCTTATACTATTATATAAAGCGGAAGAGTTTGTTTGTTTGTTTGTTTGAACGCGCTAATCTCCGAAACTACGGGTCCCATTTGAAAAATTCTTTCTGTGTTGGATAGCCCATTTATCGAGGAAGGCTATAGGCTATAAAACATCACGCTACGATTAATAGGCGCCGAGCAGAGCGAGTGAAACCGCGCGGAAGTAGCTAGTTATAAATAAATGCAGTTTGTTCATAAAATATTTTCTAATTTCCAGAGTGTATTACAACTGCACGACATGAAGTCTGGCAAGTTACTGCAGACGTTCCCCCTCGACGTCGGCTCCGTCGTCGGGTTCTCCGGCAAGAAGGAGCAGTCAGAGATATTCTACCACTTCATGTCATTCCTCTCGCCCGGAGTCATCTATCACGTCAACTTTACTAATCAGCCCTATGTGCCTACGGTAAGGACTAATTTATTTTAATTTGTATAATCTGCATACCCATCAACGAGAAACAGGACCTACTTACATACATAACCTCACGCTTGTGTCCCGTGGTGATAGGCAGAGACTAAAGAACGCCAATTGCTACGATTCTTACATACCTTTTTCGCTTCATCAAAAGTCATCAGTCGTTTCATACATGCTCGATCAAAAGAGGACCTTTTTGGGTTATATTCGTGGAACCTAGATGAGTCAGTCACTTTGAAAGAACTATCTACCTTGGCACTGTTTGCCCTGGCATCTAGTCTGTTACCACTGCATAATATAGTATAGTGCATAATTTAAAGAATTCTTTTTCTTCATATTGGTAATGTTACTGGGAATAATTTGTAATAAGTTTCGTGGCATCATAATACTACTACTAATTCCTGCTGTTTTTTTTTTTAGGTATTCAGAGAAGTAAAGGTGAAAGGTTTCGACGCGTCGCAATATCAAGCAAAACAAATATTCTACACCAGCAAAGACGGCACTAAAGTTCCTATGTTTATTGTTTCTAAGAAGGTAAGAATTTCACTTCCATTTGTGTATTTAAATAACAAACTAAAGATGCGTAAAATAGTCATCGAAATTGCGATGAACTAATTGGAAAAAGCGTGCTTTTTATCCCCGGAAAAGGGCACTATGCTAATATATAGTAGTTCAGTTATCATTTAGTTTTATACTGTAACTTTATAAAAATAATCAAAATATACCATAATTTACAAATACTTTTCTTTCCTTAGGGTCTACAACAAGACGGGTCAAACCCGGCCTTAATCTACGGCTACGGCGGCTTCAACATCAACATCCAGCCCAGCTTCAGCGTCACGCGACTGGTGTTCATGCAACACTTCAACGGAGTCGTCGCCATACCCAACATACGGGGCGGAGGGTGAGATACTACTCATTTATATTCTTAACTGTTACCCGCGACTTCGTCTGCATAGAATATTATTCCTGTTTCATCCCATGGGACTATTTAATTGGCATCGCCTTAGTCAGCCCATACCCTGCCTGTATACCAAATTTCATCAAAATCCTTCCAGTAGTTTCAGCCTGATTGACGGACAAACATCCAAACAAAGAAACTCTTATATTTATAATATTATTGTCTTGAATGTACTCAATAAATATTTCTTTAGACAGATTTAGAAAAGTTATAATTAAATTTCTCTGGGTTTTACGGCAATAGACATCATTATGTGGTGAAAAAAAGACATAACTAATTCTGTATTCAAGCTCATTCTCCGTCACATCACTGTTTTTAAAACAAAATTTATCTTTTTCACAGAGAGTACGGAGAGAGGTGGCACAACGCTGGTCGTCTGTTAAACAAACAGAATGTGTTCGATGACTTCCAAGCGGCCGCGGAGTATCTCATCAAGGAGAAGTACACGAGGCCCTCACTCATTACTATACAGGGAGGGTCTAACGGGGGTCTGTTAGTGGCAGCCTGCATCAACCAGAGGCCAGACCTTTATGGCGCTGCCATCGTACAGGTCGGGTAAGTAACATTACATATACATAACATCACGCCTTTTTTCCCCGGAGGGTTTACGCAGAGGTGCACATTACGTATACAATGCCACTGTACAATGTAACCCACTTTTCACTATTATGTTATAAGTCCCATGTAATAAGGGGTAACATACATATGTCTAATATTGCCCTCTTTTTGTAACAAAGCCTAGTTTTATTACAATTAGTCGTCAATCATTTTAATTTACGCCGCAATAGAAGACGAAATCAAGTTGTTTGTAACATTATTCTGCGACCAAAAGCTGTTACGGTAATTTTATGTTATTTCTTGTATTCCAGAGTACTGGACATGCTGAGATTCCAGAAGTTCACAATAGGGCACGCGTGGGTGTCAGACTACGGCAGCTCGGATAACAAGACGCAGTTCGAATACTTGCTCAGATACTCGCCGCTACACAACATACAGACGCCTACACGCGGTAAGTTTTATGTGCAATTCTCGTCAACTAGAAACTTTTTTGTAATAGTTATCCCTTAGAAGTTGGGTTGTTCCAAATTTTGTAATATTTTTTTCTCTTTGTACTTATTGGAAACAGTAATAAAGTTGCTGAAATGTAACTTGAGAACATTTTTATACTTGAAAGTAATTGTAGCTGTAATACAATACTATATAAGTACGCAAGGACCGCAGTAAATATCGCACTGTCATCTATGCCATCCCTACGAGACGAAGACATCGTATCTATTTAAGAATATAACATACTAGCGGACCCAACAGACGTCCTGTATATCCACTTGAATGTATAAACAAAAATTCATTCTAATTAGTTCAGCTGTTTAGGATAAATAACCTAAACATCAACTGCAGCGCCATCTGCCGGGCTGATTTGTGAATCTATACCATTCCCAGATCCCCTTGAACACACAAAAAATTTCATCAAAATCGGTCCAGTCGTTTGAGAAGAGAAGTTCAGTGACATACACACTCACAGAAGAATTATATATAATTATAAAGATGTATTCTGTTTCCAGACATCCAGTACCCGGCGACGTTAGTGCTGACGGCGGACCACGACGACCGCGTGGTGCCGCTGCACTCGCTGAAGTTCATCGCCGCGCTGCAGCACGCCGCGCGACACACGCCGCAGGAACATCCACTGCTCGCGCGCGTCGACACCAAGGCCGGCCATGGCGGGGGGAAACCCACCGCTAAGATTGTAAGTATTGCTGCTCCTTGGTTCCATTATGTGTTATTTTAATCTGCGACACATCAACTATAAGATCATTTAATATTATAGCTAAAACAACATCTTATCTATGCAGAAAATTGTCTAAATAATTTAGATATAAATATGTAAACTTATACACAAGTGGGGTATATGAAGTACGGAACAGACTTTATTTTTTCAGTATGTTGTTTTCAGGCACTTCAAATAAGATCGTCATTTTCTGCATGTATTTATAAAAAAGAAAATAAAAATGATTTTGTTTGGTTTCAGATCGACGAGCACACCGACATCCTGTGCTTCATGAGCCAAGCGCTCGGACTTGAGTTCATCAAGTGAACCCACCTGCCATCCAGATAGTATTACACGAGATAAATAAAATATGTGAAGAACGCTAATAGTATTATGTAAATATAGCAACAACCACAGTGTCTCGATGATTACCTCGGGGTCTTAGCTAAGACTGGTGATATTGTTACGCATTGCTACTATTTTTATTAATAAAACTTTTGTTTTTAATTTTGATTTTTCATTTTCTTTATACTACTTTGGTCCCGCACGCTACTTCAGACACCAGAGGAAATAACATAAAATCCTTTGTATATTAACCTCTGGTATATCTGGTATATCGGTGCTAAGATTATTCAGACACCACTGACAAACGGTGAAGGAAAACATCGTGAGGAAACGTGGACTTAATTTCTAATTATAAGTTTGTAATCGCCAACCCGCATTGAGCAAGCGTGATTATTAACTTCTTATCTGCCGGCATGTGAGACACAATAGAAAACACATTGGGTCTCGCGTATATCTACGTTAGGGGGTTAGTGGGTTAATGCTCAAACCTTCTCCGTGGGAGAAGAGGCTTTGCTCAGCAGTGGGCATTTATAGGCTGTTGATGAAATGATATCGGTGCATAGATCTGCGCGAACACAATGCGTTTTCTATTGTGTCTCATATATCGACAGACAAGAAGTTAAAATCTAAAATATCTTAAATACTACAAGTCCTAACAAATACGCCTACAACAAAGGAAGGCAAATTTTCCGACCTCTAAAGACACCCGTAAACATATATGTATATGCAACCAAAAACATTGTATAAGAAACTAGCAAAGTCTCGATGGAGTCGCTTGTTAATCCCTAAAAAATAAAGAAAGCTAGACAACATCGTGCCAAGTGTAAGGTTCCTTACTGCGATTCTTTATTATTATAGTTTTGTGTGACTTGGCCGTTGAGCCGCTACCCATTGAAGATGAAAAATTGACATTAGGAAAAAGGTTAATTGAAAAAAACAGCGGTTCTGGCGATAAATTGGCGCAATGATGCACCCTTATGGTGCCCTTCAACGGTGGTTCTCCTCGCCTCAGGCCCAACAAGTACCTCTCGAAGCTTGCGTGTCCAGTTAGCACCCGCGTCAGGCGTCACTCAAGTCACTCCAGAGGCCTTATCAACCCTCAAATCAAATCTCAATTCGCCCACTGCCCCGTCAGTTAATCCGCTGGTAAGGTGGTGCATCGGGGAGATTAGAGAAACAACTTTATTGTTTGAAGTTACATTTAATACTACTCTAAATATTGGATACAATCGGATATATATGGATTACACACTTAGATCTCGCAATGGACATTTATACATACATACACACTACAGCAACTATGCCTTCGGCAAATGAAAGTAATGTATTCACCGATGTAACATTGATGTCAGATCCTTTCCAATATGCCAATATTTATATTTCCAATATTCCAAACAGATATATGGATCTCCTTACCTTACCTAACGACTTTCTGCAGAGGAATGTCCTTCAAGTTCAATATGGTGGCGTTTATATGCTTCAACAGGTCGATATATCGATTTCAAGATAGCACTGCTGAAGTGATCTTAATACTGGCTTGGCGTTTTTAAAATGCCATGGTGTATCCAAACTATTAATATTGAAATGTATGCCTATGGTGCCTAACTCATATGGTGACGACTTGCTTACGTCGCCATGGCGTCTTAATAACGCAGAGCTCTAAGTTTCGATCAAATCAAAGACCGTCTTATAGTCTATAAATTCTAATCATAGGGTCAAATTACATGCCGCATCGTCTAGGTGTAGTCTTTGGAACTGTAGTCTTTTCGTAAACTAGCTTGTTTAAGAAGACCTACGGGCGGGATGAAAAGCTTGTACACATGGCTCAGAAGTGAGCTAAGTCTGTAATTATTCAGTAGGGTGTTGTCACCTTTCTTGAAGGACAGCACACTTAAGTCTGCTATTCCTTAAGTATAGCGTCAGGTAGCCTCAGTTCTTGGATCTACAACTGAGCTGACAGCTTTATTGAGTGCCGCGTATGTCATGCCATACTCCATGGCTCTGCCTCCAGCTTACCTACTCAAAAGATCGTATTGCCTCTTTAAAATTATTCATAATAAGTTATCGTGGATGTCATTTCGAAGAGATTTTCATATTTATCTATTGAGCAGCTTAACCTTAACTTCGGTATCACACGTTACATTGTCATGAGTATTAAAGGTGTGATCGGTAAGTCTTTTTGTCGAGGTCTGAAAATTTCGACCCGATTGCTTGGACAGCTTCTACGAAACTATTACTGGTCTCGTCATGAAATTTTTTTAGGCTTGCCCCACCCTAAGCCCTTGGCTGGCTACGCCCATGTTCACGATTATTGTTCGATTAGGTACCCTGGTTCTTTTCCCTTGGTATGGCCATTAAAACCCTGACTTTGTAACAAATTTTAACTCTCTGAGTTTATGGGAAGTACCAGTTTTATTTTGATGATCATGAGTGTCATAAATGCAAAACTTTGCTTTCGGATAACTTTGGAACTAAATGCCCTACAGACATGAAATTTTGGATTTGAAATATGTGATTATAGCTTACTGGATGATAATAAATTCCTGCGTTCTAGTCTATAAAGAGGCTTCGAATAAATTCTTCTTTCTTCTTGACTTGCTTTCCCAACCGCAAACGGCGCACCGGGCGCAGGAGAGGGGCTGACAACGCACTCTTCTGGCCCCCATGAATGGGTCCAGGGCCAAAGGACTTGGGGAAGTCCCCACCCCCGATTCGATAGACCCAAGTCGAAGGCGCACGCAAGTGTCGGCGCGCGCCTTTGAGGCGATGCACGTAGCTACACATTGCTACTGCAGGAGACGAGACCCGGACGGACGGGCCGGCACTGTAATACGGGGCTGCGGATGAATTTGTACTCCCGCGGCCCACGCGCACGTGCGAGGAAACACTGGGTGGTTTTAGCCGGTAAGAGGCCGGCGGTAATATTTTATCGATGGATACTTTTAAAATCGTTTTGTTTTGCGTTTTGTCATTCACTAGAAATGTCTCTGGTAACTTCCAATCACCTTCCAATACTTAACCTTTCATTGTGAAATGACTTTTTTCAGAAAACGCATATGCAAAGTATTAATAACTGATAGCGCATCGTTAATCAAAGGATATTGTATGAATGAAATAAAACAAAAAATAATATTCAACTTTTATTGTTATATCCTTACAGTACAGTTGCTAAAAAGCACGAAATCCAATTGGGACTTGCTCCAACCTACGTCATAATATAAAATATTAGTTGCTTACAACAAAATAAATAAACTTCTTAATGCCCTTTTGGCGTTTTTCTTTATCCAATAATAAGTTTAATTTCTTTATGCTTAGTTACTTGTGCAACTTCCAACATGAAGAAATTGATCGATGGCCTCGATTTAAAATCGTTTGACAAACGAAGAAGTTAACACATCGCTTGTATATAATGCTTAGATCGTAGTATTACATAAACTACAGTCGCAAATTATAATACACGATTACATCAACATGTACGTGTTCGTATGATCAAGGACCCATTACAATGAAATGTACAATCTGTCGGTACAGAACATACAATTGACCGGTGCCTGGGTCCCGCTTGGATCGCATCCTCACGACAACACAAACTTAATTAAACATACACACATTAATCCAATACATATGATTTAAATACATACATATTGTACCGATCAATTGTATTACATTGATTACAATTAAACACCTAGAAAGAACATTGTTTAAATGCCCATAATAATAAAACGCTATACTAAACAATTACGTGGTACATGCATTAAATATAGGTTACACAGAGCCTAAGTATACAAGCGACCTTCAACCTTACGCTCAGTTGACAGGCAGCATCCAACTTGTCTCGTGTCAGCGTAAGTATCTCTAAAATTACACATTTCATAGCTTAGGGTCAGGGGAACTATTCTTAACGCTCATCCACTACTAAATCAGTTAAAAATCGAGGCCAAACATCGTTCTAATCGCCGTAGCCCCCGCGAGTATCCTAACTATACAGGAATAGCAAAGAACAACGGTAGAAAATACTGGAGTGGAGCCGCGCGTACAATGTACACATGGTACACATCGTACACAACGCGGTACAGACGGACGAGGGACACGGCGATTACTACTGCGAGCTAACCTAGTACACCATGGCCGCATGATGTAACGTTAGTTCGTCGGGACGGGACGGACGCGGCCCGCCACACGTCCCAAGGAAACCCATTTGGTTTGGCTTCACAGCCCCAGTTTCATTACAATATTCGTTCCTACATAATTTAATGATATTTTATTTTTATATCCTACGATTCTTATACAATAAGACAGTTTCAGTATATATTATAGCCAATACACATAGCAACTAGTTTAGATCATATCTGGCTTACTTACGTCGCGATATAAAGTTATTTTAAAAATACGATAGATGAGCGTTGCTCCTAATAAAAACAAGACAACCAAACACTTTTTTTTTGTAATAAATATTAAAGTTTAAAACCTAATTTGTGAGCTTCAGTACATAATTCCAGTAAACGTAAAAATTAAATTAACTAAGTAGTTTCTTACAGATCGTAACAACGTAATGTATAACAAAAAATATACATTTAAAATTCAAAAAAATACAAAGTTCATTGATGAAAATTAATAGTTGTTGCAAGACTCGAGATCAAACAAAACGTCGTGAATATATCATAGCCGGAAACGGCACAAAATAGTCAATAGTTGAATTTTGCGAGATCGTCCCGAACATTTCGTGCTGTGAGATATTCACATGGGTTACATATTGCAATAGTCGACCAGTTAGCGAGATGGCAGGTGAAGTTAGCTGCAGGCCGGGACTCGCCGCGTGCTCTACTCTGCGATGCCGTTACTTACTACGCTCGTCTTAGCGGGAGTACTGCTCACGCTTTGTATTCTGGAACGAGATAAAACTATAAGTAAGAAATACGTGATAACACTGCGTTACGGTTACAGAATAGGATAATTTTTAGGGACAGAGGTCATTTAGAAACAGACATAGAGGAGGAATATGAATGTTATATGATCTTAATTGTTATGTTTTCGGCTTACTTACATAACTGTCTGACGCGGAATTCCACTAGTTTCAAGTCATGCTAGAGAAGCCGAAAACATAATTAATTTAGTATGTCTCACAAAAGTTGTAATATAAACATAGTAAATCGTTACAATTATGGTCTAGTTAGACAGGCATCATTGACTGCAGTTCCGTATGGCAGTAGAGATGTGAGTACGTACGAGTGCGCGGGCGCGTCGAGCCCCATGAGCGTGAGCGCGCGCAGGGCGGCCCGCGAGCACTGCTCGTGCGAGTGCGCGGTGGACGGGCCGCCGCCGTGGCACATGACGGGCGGCTCCGTCGACAGCGACACCAGCGACAGGTACTCGCCGTGGTTGCGCTGCAGGCGAGACAACGTATTATTTATTCACATCACACTTGTTAACGCAAGCATGCAACAACTAATTCTTTTTTTACAATTTTAGACTTGTATCTACTTTTATTTAACGTAATAGAACATCACGTTTTTTTATCCCCGAAAAGCGGTAGGCAAAGGTGCACATTACAGCACTTAATGGCACTGTAGAATGTAGCACCCATATTTCACTATTTATGTTGTTCAGTCCCATGTAATAGCCGTGAGCCTAATGCCAAATACCGGGCACAATTCCAAGCTCCGTGCTACTACTGAGATTTATTTGTAATATTTTGGGAATTGAACCAGATACCCTTGCCCGGCAATCGCACTTGCGACCACTCGGCCAACGAGGCAGTAGTTACTTTTATTTACTTTTTACAAAAATACCAGTTTAGGCACTTATCAAAGAAAAACGAACTTTGCTAAATAAAACATAACAAAGATATTGAAGAAATTGATGCCCAATTCTTACCTTAGGGAAATCGGAGAACTGTACGCTAAATCCTAGTAGCTGCGATAGATACATGAGCTGGTCTTTGGCGCCGGGCGTGTTCCCCGCAGACCCGCCCGTCGCACTAGTCTCACTTACACCTGGAATGCAAAGTAAAAACATATTTAAACAAACCTTTTAAATTGGTACACTAACAGATAGCGCAAATATCGTACGGGTGCCATTTCCTTCATTTCCGATAACATAAATATTCACCTAATTTAAGGTTAGTCAGGTTCACTACGTCGTGTGTGACGCAATTATTTTCGTGAAAATGAGCCCCAAGCGTGGTTGAAACCAGTTGGTGGCATGGTAAATAGGATTTTTTAAGGGGGGGAAATCATCGAATGACTACTCCCGCCCGGGTGAGGCTGGAGGGAGAGTCAGTCTCTTACTGACTAAAAACCACCCAGTTTCTTTTCCTGCACGTCGAGCCGGAGTCCCGGTTACCCGTTGGGTTCTCCGCGACGTTAGGTTCTTTGGTAAATAGGATATGGTACTGACCATTAGGTTGCAGTGGTTGTCCAGTGCGTTGATGATAGTCCATGAGTAGTACCCCGGGCACTGGCTGCCTCACCTCCCCGGCTGCATCGCCGTCCTGGGACGCGGTACTCTGCGGGAAACAATACGGTATTATTCACCCATGATTTAAATATTCAATTCAGACAGTAAAGTAAGTGTGATGTTGATGAAATAGTCTATCGGTAATTTTGAATTTCTTATTTGACATAAGGCTGTTGAGCAATGCTGTACACATGAGTATGAGTCCCTGACGTGCCTCGAAACTAGTCGAGTCACTTCGTCAAACAGTTATGTAAGTCGTAAAACATAAGTAATCTGAGGTCCAGTGTTAAAGTTGAGTGATGTGGAAATATGTGACTTACTTTCCGCTTAGTATCGTTAGTCTTGGTGTCGGGCGAGGTGGCGGCGGAGTCTGGGCTGCAACTGGTCTGTGAGGCGTCGACCGGCTTACTGCTCATCTCCATCGCTAGTAACACGTCTGGAACGTTCATATATACTCGTTTGGGTTTTTAAACTTAATAATCGAGAAATTAATTTTGAACGTGGGAGAGCCAGCATGAACGAGTTAGTTCGACTGTAGTGATATTAAGGCCTCATAGAAAACCAGCGTGGAACAACTAAAGCGTTGTATTCTTGTATTTTGCCTTGTGTATGAGGTTACTGGAGGTTTAATTATCTCCCCTCTATTCTCAAAGGTACTTGTAGTTTTTAGTATTGCAGAATATTCATAGGCAGTATAGATTGTTTACTATCAGGTGGTTTACCATCCTGTACCATATTAACAAATCTAATTTAAATTACAAGGCTATTGTGGGTCCTACCTAGTAACGTGTATATGAAGAGTATGTAGGTACGTACTGTGCGCGGCGCGTCGCTTGGCAGTCTTCTTGTTGGGCCCGAGGCCGGTGGCGGAGTGCGGCGGCGCGTCGCACTGCACGAGGAACTCCCTGCGCCGCGCCGCGCCGCGCTCCTCCAGCACGCGGTACTGCGGCGAGCGCGCGCGCACGGCGTGCCGCGCCACGGCCAGCCGCGAGATGGGGTTGTCCGCGCCGCCCGCCGCGCCCGCGCCGCCCGCCGCGCCCTCCTGCGGACCAACCACCTTGTACCTCCAGCGCGGGACAACCAGCTTCAGCACCAATGACTCGGGTTGACCATCGTGGAATCGAAGTGCTTATGCTTCCGTTGCGTTTCGCCGTGTAAGTCAGTCAACCTCCCTCTCAATCATGAAAACATTTGTAACTACTCTGGTGTTGCATCTATCCATGGGCAGCACTAATTAATTCATTATCAAGTCATCCTCAATAATCATAAGACTGTTGTGGTGTTGCAAATGTCAATAGACTACACCCACTACTTACCATCAAGTAATCAATATGCTTGTACGCCGACTTTTTACATACCAAAAAACATTTAAATGTCACTATTAAAATATAAAACTCATAACTACCTCGCTGACCTTGATGAGATTCCTGGGCTTCTTCTTGGCAGGCTGCGCGCGTCGCTTGTCCTGCGGTGGCCTGGCACGAAGCAATGCAGGTGGCCAGCGACGTCGCATTTCATCCAACATACGTTCGGCGGCGCGACGCTTGGATACCTTCTTACCATTGCCCTCGCCTTCCGTTTCCATGTCGCCCACCGTACATGCAGTTACAAATACCTGGGTACAAAATGTAAACGAATAAAGACAAAAGGTTGCGATAAAACAGCATCACTTAGCAAAATAATGCTATATTAAACTCGATGCGAAAATTTTATTGCGCACGACATCACACTACAAAATGTAGGACGCTGCAGGGTATACTGTGTTGTATGGCTTCGTATTGCGATATGCTATCGTAACTTTAAAACTAGGTAGGTATATTCAGTGAATTTGAAACTATGACATTACTTAAAATTCTACTCACCCGCATGTGTGGTGGGCCTCGTTCGGATTTGACAGTGAACTGTACTGAGAGATTGCGTTTGAGGGCGAGCTCGTGTACCAGTGAGACGGGAGACTTCACTTCCGAACTCAGTAAGTCAGCGTTGTTGTCACCCCCTAAGAAAAAGCAGACATTAATATTACTTTAGAAAACCGTGTATGGGGTATACAGGATTGATTTTTTTAAAATCACCAGTGCCCAGCTAATGCCTCGTGAACAAGCCGAGTTGTGCAGCAAGGATGCCGCACAACACTACGCGCAAGACAACGTATTCGCCGCGTGTCCGCAACGTCCTCGCTCGGTCCGCTTTTTAGACTCTCGCCATCTGTTGGTATATGAAGGCCTAGCCGTGAAGTAAGTATAGCAGTGAGCGAACATACCTGCGTCGGCATCGTTGTGGTTGGCGTGGTTGTGCGCGGCGGGCTGCGCGTCCGCGGGCGCGGCGGACGGGCCGGGCGGGCCGGGCGGGCCGGGCGCGGCGGGCGCGGCGTCGGGCGGCGGGCGCAGGTCGCGCAGCGCGCGCGCCGCCGCGTCGTGTCGCGCGGCCTGCGGGGTGGTGCCCTCGCCCAGCCAGGCGCGGCCGCCCACGCACACGCGCACCCTGTACAGCAGCGCGGGCGCGGCGTAGGCCGGCGCCAGCAGCGCGGCGGCGCGGTAGGCCGGGGCCCGCGCTCGCACCAGCCGCGCCGGCCCTGCCACCGGCGGGATGGACGTGTACACTGCCGGCTGGCACAGCTTCATTGCCAGAGCATTCAGCTCTACTGTTGGCATTACCGCACCTGGAAATACAGATAAATATTAATGTCTATTTTCACTAATTATGAATTACCGTAACATAAAACTCTCGTTAAATATATTAGGCTAACGCCAGTGACTACAGTGGCGACATACCAGCATGTCTATGGTGCGGATGGTGCGCTGCATGTGGCGCGGGCGCGCGCGGCGGCGGCGGCGGGAAGCTGGTGCCGCCCAGCGCGGCCTGCGCCGCCGCGTGCTGCGCGCGCTTTATTGACGACCCCTGCAACACGCATACAATCAAACATAAACCACTGAAAAACCTGAAACTTTATGCTCTGAAACATACATTTTAACTACTTTTATCATAGAAGTAGAATTTCTTTATGTCGACATACCTCTGCAGTATATTCCTCAGTATCACCCAGTCGGAGTGTTACTGTGAATACTTTTTTGTGAGCAGGTCCTGTTTCTGATGTGAGGCGATATTGATGCTTAATCTGAAATAACGAGAATTGTTACTGAACCATGAAATTAATGGCTTAAATGTTTTAACTTCTTGTCTATCGATATATGAGACACAATAGAAAACACATTGTGTGGTGCGTAGATCTGGGTTCCGACACTTCACAGGTTAAGCACATTTTCTTGCACGAGGAAATCGAAAGATATAAATAAACATGACGTTTTGTCATTTATATTGCTTACCTTATTGTACCTGGCCAGTTCGTTGACCAGGCACATTGGAGTCTTCTCTTTACTGTTGGCCGAACAGTCGCGCGGGCTGGCGTCGCGCGCGTCGTCAGTGGCGGGCGCGGGCGCGGGCGCGGCCTCCGCCTCCGCCGCCTCGCCCGCGCCGCCGCTCGCACGAGTCGCGCCGCTACTTGCACTCGCCACCACTGATAAAAATAATACTTTTTACCCAACCAATAATAATAATCACCTAACCGATAATGGTTACGGCAGTTAACATCTTAACGGAGACAAGCCGACGACACAAAATATGACATGACATTATGATCAAAATTAGTGTTTTTTTTCGATAAACGAGGCGCGATGTGCTTGTGGTTGATTCGCGGGACGGTAAAGCCCTGTACTGGATTTTTCAAAACTATCTGTAACAACGTGGAATTGGTAATTAGGCCTAATGCATACATTAGCAAATCTATTGCTATAGCAATACATGGAATAGACATCATTACTTAGTTGAAGTGAAATTCCGTTATGATACGTCCACATACTTATCAGCTTGCTATGTAAAACAATGGATATAACCAAATAAGTAAAGATTTTATGAGCGTAACAGACTAATCGTAACAGGGCTTTATAGCCCTGTTACGACACAACTTAGCCCTGTATTAGTAAATCGTATTAGTAAATACAGGGCTAAGTCGTGTACTCGATTTCAATGATAAAGTCTAGTTTGAAATAATTAGTTTATGCTTTGCTCGAGCTAGGCGCGTACACGTATCTACCACGTGTCTACGACGTTCTCGCTACGCAGCCGCAGCGTGTTCGCCACGCAGCTACGGCTGGCAACCCGCTAATGATAAGGCCAGACTTAACTGAACATACCTGTGTGTGCAATGGGTACGGCTGGTGGTTGCATGGGCGGCGGCTGTGCGTAGGGCGGCGGCATCACTCCCGCGCCCGGCCCGTAGCCTCCGCTCACCGCGTACGGACGCCGAAGCGCCTTCATTTGTTGCTGGTAAAACATCACAAGTTACAACACTACTCCGCTACGTATAGTTTAACAACATCTACGTTCGCGAGTCGCCAATTGGTTCTTTCCTCAACATTTGCATTGATTTCAAGTTTTTCTTTTCATTTAATTTCTTTTTGTTCTCTTTTTTAATTTATTCAATTAATTTTTTACGTTTTTACTGTCTGTTTTACTAATATGTAGAGTTTATGTTACGAAATTCTCCACATTTAAGTAAAACATAATAAACAATTTGAGATCGTTTGCCGTTTCATTTTTATTCTTTTTGTTAAAAAACGTGATGTATTAATGGGGGAATCGAACCCGTCAAACAATACTGCAATTCGATAATATATATATACGGTTATCCTTTATATTAAGTAGATTCTAGTTCTAGTTCTAATTTCTAAATATCTAATGTAAAATAAAGAAATGATGAGGATTTGCGATGAATTAATTTAGAGACGGATATTTAGATAGTACGAGTATTTACCGGTTTTCCGACGTTATGTCCGTCTTGCTTCGGCCGTGGCCAGGAATGGACTGATGAGTGATGATAGCTCAGTGACGCCTGCATGAAATGGGGGGGGACATTCATATCTACCCTCACTGCTTGACAATTTTGGTTCATGTTAATCTACATTAACTACTAATTACCTTCAACTAATATTAAACTAATACGTTAATTGACTAATGTTACAAAAATATAGTAATTAGCTAGAGTGAGTTGAAAACATGAGGATACGTTTAGGACTGATTGTAGTATCTCACCGGTGGTACGGAATGGTGCTGCGCTTGCGGATGATGTGGCATAGCCCTGATCGGGTGAGGTGGTCGCTGTGGCGTGTGGTGCGGCGGCGGCACGCCCATCGCGCCCAGCCCGCCCAGCGCCTGGCCGTGCGCGCCCATAGCGCCGCCCGCCTGCGCCGGACCTAGCGGCACCCTTCACACCAAATCCCAGTCAGAATCGCGCACTACCATACCGCTATATATTAGTTAGTAAAGCAATACAGGCACCACACAGCGCTGTCAACATCACGTTCCGTTTTAACCGAAAGTCATAATATAATCGCCAGTAACCGTCGCCGCACCGACCTCGGTGAAAGTGACCTGTCCAGCTCCACAGTTGGCGAGACACTGTTATTTCAACTGTCCAGTAGTCAATGGACGTGATATATTAGTCTGAGCGAAGAAAGGTCGGCCGGCATTCAAAACCTCGGTCCCCGCGCATCAATAGAGACGTCGTCATATGTTCCTTTGTCAGTTTCATCCCCAACAAGTTTAAGCGACAAAGGGCGCCGCAAAAGACCCTCGACATATCAACAAATTACACAATATTTGCATATCAATACGGCCGCCACTCTTTTCTCGGATAAAGACAGTGTTATTTTATTAAATAGTGTCAAAGTTCGAGTAACCAACTCATATCCAGTTATTATTACTGCAAGGATCGTGTAATATGAACCTTCTGAGACTTTCAACACTTTACATTACTAAAGACTACCTTGAGAACGAATTAAATTCTACTGGTTATACTTTCAATAAATGTGTACCCACCTAAATATAATTATGTGTACAAGATTGCAATGAAGCAGTTGTACATTAGATGTATACTCCTTGCATTTTTAATTCCTTATATTCAATATAATTATCATTTATAGAAGAATCAGCAAAATAATGGTGGTTCACGTAGATTATTAAATGCAACACAATTATTTGCAAATTATTATCCTATGCAAAGTTGTTCAATCAATGATATATGAAAATGAAGCTTTATAGCTTTTGTTAGCGAAAATCAATTTTTGCTAAGTGTGATGAGCTAAGCATTTAATGGAAACAAAAGCAAAGATGTTGTGTACCTCTTCCATTATGAATTTACAGTTTTTGACTGAAACACAAGTTACCAACTTTATATACTCGTACAGTATATTAGTGAATTATTGTGATAGTATCAAGATTCAAAAATTCAAAAAAGGATATTTGTGTCTTACTAAATATTCTGACCCACTTGCACCAACGAGTAACGGTGAAGTTTCTTGGAACTAACTTTAGAACACGCATCTAGCTTCACTGACAGACAGACTGACAGACATTTCAAAAGTGCCTAATTAAAGATTAATTGAAATAAACGCATTGACTTTAAAATTAAAAAAAAATGTTTGTCTAATATTTATTTTACAAGGGTTTGATTTCTGCTTTAAGATTGACTCTGGCTGGTCATCATAGTAGGAACTTATTGGAAGCATCTTAATTCCAGTAACTAATTAAGTCAGTAAAAATAAAAAAAAGTGGTTAACTATTTTCAGTTTTAACTTGAACCAACAAGACTTTCTAGTATGTAACTAGATAATTGTATTGTACACCGGATTGGAAGAGTAACCAATGGAGTTTCATGCTCGTAATTCTCCTTCCACATCTTGGAATAAGTAAATCATCATCATCAACAGCCGAAAGACTACAGGACAAAGGCCTTCCCTTAGTCCTCCATGTTGAACGACAACTCGCCACCTGCATCCACTGGCTCCCCGTAACTCTGGCGATGTCGTTGGTCCACCTAACGGGAAGCCTCCCCACGCTTCGCCTTCCGGCCCCGGTTTGAGCAAATAGCTTCCCTATTTTTATTGACGTTCAAAAGTGCCTTTCTGGTCTAATTGGAATAAATTATTTTGACTTTAACATGTTCAGTACTCACAAAGAAAAACCAATTAGATTATATAAAAAAAATATAGGCTTCCGTTATGATCTAATATGGGACAAAAATTGAGTATAGAAGAAAATTGATGTAGGTAAAGATATGTTGTAACAATAAAAGTATCTATATTTATGAACTAATCATCTTTCTTGAAGATATGTTGAACATTCTACTTCATTATTAAGTATATTAATTTCAATATATTATCTGCTTCTTGATGTAGTTTACATATGAATGGGGTTTTAGAGTTACACCATGGAGGTGAAATGACTGGGACTGAATTTTAGCATTTTTATAATATGTCAATTTCCGGCAGCTCATCAGCTGTTCTATCACATACTACACAATAACATTATATAAAGCAGTTTTTTCAGAAGATTATTTAACTGAAACTGAAAGATATTGTATCTTTGGATTCCTTTCATTTCAGAACCCCAAGATATTAAAGATAATAATAACTTGATTTTTATTTACGCTACCAATAAAGAAATCTGCACCATTATGCAGAATAAAATCAGTGTCATTAACCACACTCATAAATGTGAAAGTTAGTATTTGGCTTAAAATTCTGATTGAATATTCAACACAAATATCTTTTGTTTCCATTGCTCTGCACTAATGAGTAAGTCATTAAACAAGTTACACTGTAGTTTATTTGTACTTGCATTGTTAGTTACTGATCCAGATACAATAATTATCAGCAGACATAGGTTATACACAAGTTTTGACAGAAAACTTCCAAATATTTATCACAAGTCAATTGTAACATACTCAGAAAATATACAGTAACAACTGCAGGTTATCAACACAATAATTCAATCGAAGTAACTAATATGTTCAACTATTTTGACCTATTTAGACTGTGTGCGATTTACGACTCTCGGTCTGATACTGTTAGTACAAAGCGGCCTACGTCGATTTGTTGTTGCTAAACGATCTGTGATATGATTGTGTGTACAGCGATATCTGGGCGCGAAGCATTACAAACAAATAAAATAATGAAAAGCCGAACGGTACTCTACCTAGTTAGTGTTACGTGCCTGTTCTCTCTGTGCATCTGATGAGGGGCCATCTGATGGTGCGCGGGCATTCCCTGGTGCCCGCCCATGTGCTGCGGCGGGTGCCCCGAGATCGGCTGATGATGCATGTTCGGGTGATGCATCATCTTCACAGACCACTGCCGTTGTGACACAAACAAACTATAAATATCGCGAACTACCACCAAATAAACACCGCCAATTTCTAATGTCAAATACAACGTATCACACTGAATTTCTTACCCTTACTATATGTCACCAACAAATCAGTCTCTCGGCTATGCAATCTACATAAATCCGCTCACTAATTACGACTATTTCAGTTTATTTTGGCAAACAGTAAAGAAAATCGTTTCGTTCAACATGCGGCCATGTTAAAAATGTTGCCATTTGGTCGAATGACAATTCAAATAATGTACAGCTTAATTTTTTTTATGGTAATAAACGTAATAATCAATTTTAAAACTATTTAAAAATAACAAAAAAAAAATGAAAAATGCCTATAATACCTAAGTCTATAAATATAAAAATTAAACCCGTTTCCCGTTGTCACGCCATGACTTGAGAACGGCTAGATCGATTTTTTTTGTTGTGTTTCTTATTGTCAGGAGAATGTTCATAAAACAGAAAAAAACCCTGAAAATCCTACGGGAACGGGAGAAAACGAGATCGCGCGTACGCAGTCGCGAGCAGAAGCTAGTTATTAATAAATTAAATAAAACTCCGCAAATGCGATTGTTATCTATGAATAGAGATGGGCATGCTTCTGATGAATATATCCGTTTTTATTCGAGTATTTATCCAAAAAGCGAATAAAAGAATAAAAACGGATAAAATACTGAACTATCCATTTGAAATATTTTGTATCAATGAGGACACATTCTATAAACATTAAATCTTTTTATTAATATAACATTTCTTTCTGCCCTCTTTGGAGTACTTCACTCACACAGCAGTGGGTGTGTGTCACATTGACTTTCATGTCTATAGTAAATGAGGGTAACAAGCAAAGAGTATAATAAGTATAGGGAAACAAGAGTCATATAAAGTTTAAAAAAATGTAGGTATTTGTAATGTAATTTCATAGCTATTATTATTGAGATGACTACTTTCTTTTGGGTGCCCTATGTAGCCGGTGGGCCCTTAGACTTATTATTAATTATACTCTTTGAGGGTGGGTATATTCCAATCAGGACAGAGAAGTAAGAATAATATGGTATGCCTCACGTAACGTAATATTTATTATGCCTATTAAGTCTGGATTAAGAGTTCCTTATAAAAGACATTTTATGGACATGAGGTCAAGAACATTAAAAAAGGGATATAAAAAAGAAAACACAATTTACAAAAACAGTAGTTTTATTTCATTTTCTTAACTTACTTACATTAATTGAAAAAATAAAAGCAAATTATAATTCTGTTTGACAAATATAAAGAAACACAACTGACATGAAGTGGAAGTAATCTTCGTCATTGTTAATTTGTACATCAGTTAAATTAGAGTAGGCAGGCTCTTCGATTTCCTGCAGAGTACTATCTAGGCTTTCGTCACTGTCTCTTGTGGTTTCAGCCCAAGATACACGCTTCGAACTGCGGGAAGTTTCTTTTTTCTTATCAGACGTTGGTGTCGAATGTGAAACAGGTGATGGTGGTCCTTTAGTTGGTGTTTGGGCACACTTATCCAGGTAATGCTTCCGGAGTATATATTCGCGCATCGAGTCGTGTGCTGCACGCTTAGGAGGCGGCGGCGGAGGAAGGGACCTGTCCGAATCATTATCAGAAACGAGGGCATTTCCCTCTTTCCTGGCTTCTTCTATGCGTTTAGTTTCTTCTTCGTTTGGGGCCAGCGGCCAGGCGCCGAGCTTGTTGCGCACTAGGTGAGGCCGCGCATGCGCTGCGCACAGAATACGCTTGCGCACGAAGTCGTGGAACATGGTCAGCTCTGAGCTTAGTTCACGACGAATGAGTTGTTTATGGCGGCCGGGCACACTAGGGTCACGCACAGCGAGTAATGCCTAGGAAAATAAAAAAAGGAAAATTAGACATCGGTCTTAGAAACTTTAACGTTACATGATAACAACAGTAATATAAATATGTACCTGCGATGCGAGCAGCGTGGCAGTGGCGTCGAGTGCTCCTGCCACGAGTCGCTCGTCGAGCGCGGGCAACGAGGCGGCGGAGGAGATGGACGTGAGTGACTCGCTGCGGTTGGCGCGGCGCTCGCCCGGCGCCGGGCTGCCGCAGGAACACGCGCGCCGCCGCAGCCGCGGGGACCGGGACCCACTGCCCTCTTCCGAGTGATACGCCTGTATACACATAACATGTAAATAAATTGCTACCAGGCTGTTTCTCCAAATTAATATGTTTAAAATCAAAGTTGTACTCCGAATTATACACAACAAAAAAGAATACTCACATGATTAAGAGATCTTGTTAACAAACAGATAGCCGACACTAAAGTCCCGAACGTGAGCTGCGGGAAAGGTTCGTAGGAGATCTTGGGTGCTCCGAAGTGTAGTTCGACGAGGGGCTGCCAGCGCTCCAAGTCTAGCCCAGGGTCGGCCAGAAGGGAAAGCAACTCTGGACTGAATGACAGCAAGCACAGTGTTGCCATGTGCAGGATTTCAAGAGTTCTGTAGAAAAAAGAAAAAACATTTGTTAGTAAATTATTTCTATTTATTTTTTATATTTTTTATTAGTTATAACTTTCATATTGTTTAATTACCTGTGTAACACGTTAGGAGCATAACTTTGACCATCTTCAGGTGGCGGCAGAGCAGGGTCAGTAGAGCGACGCGAGCGCATCATCAAAGTCACACACTGGTATAGGCACGCACTTATACTTCGCTGCAAATTAAATATAGAAGTTTTAGTTTACATTTCTTACAACAATCAAAGTTTTATATTAATATTATTTTAATAGTTTTGACACTTCCTTACCATAATGCCGGTTAGTGAAGTGATATTCTGTATGCGCCACCTTGCCTCAAACTTAACTAGTTGCACAACCAGGTTGAGTGTAGAGGCACACAGGTTCAAAGCATCTATGTTGAACACTTGTCGCGGAAGAAGCACAGCTTCAATCAAATGTTCTAGATGCACGCCCACGAACGTTATAGCATCACTTGCGAAGAACTGGCCGTGCTTCATCACCATCATGGAAATAAAGTCCAAACTGAAAGCGTACACACGCCACCACTCCTGCGGCTTCCAAGCTGAACCATCAAACTTCGGGGGCAACAACTGCAGCCAAAGAAACTGATCCACATCACTCATGAGCAAATCTTTAGAAAATGGCCCTCTTGCATATGCAGTCAGGCAACGTAAGGCGGCTAGAGACGTGTGATAGTGACGTCTGTTCTGTAAACATGTTTGGAGACAACAAAGGATTTTATTAATGAATCTGCTCGATTGGAACCACTGCGACAGACCCGTGAACATGTCGTCGTACAAATCTAAGCACTGCTCCAACATCGCCAGTGATAACACTACGGGTGGAATGTTCTCGATCACTGGGTGACCGTTGGCTGTCGGCTCAGGTGGCTTTGGATCCTCTTTGATATCATCTAACAGCTTTTCAAGTTCCAAACTATTAATATTCGTCACAGATCGTATGATACTCTGCGCAGTGACACTATTAGCTTTAATTTCATAATCCAAGCTGCTTATCGCGACCGTGCATATTGAAAGAATAGCGCGAATAGCACGCGGATGCAGACATTCGTAGACAATAGCTGTATTGGTCAGCAAACTGTCTACTTGTTTGGCACTAGATTTTCTGTTGTCAAAGCAGTCGTCCTTCCAGTTGGCGAGCATAATTACGTACAGCTCAGCTAGTATGACGACCAGCCTACCGTCCTTCAAGTCATCTAGTTCATTCAATAAGGCACTCATGCACGGCGCGACCATCTTAGCCTTATGCGCTATGTTTAAACTAATGGGAAGGCACTTGCAGAATATTGTGATGAAATCTTTCCATGAGGTCAACAGACTAAGCCAGACAGGCACTTTGTCCACAACTTCTTCACTATCATTTTTGCCATTAAAAGAGAATATATAGTCAATCCATCTGTCTAAATGCTTTTTGTTGGTATCAAAGAATTGTTCCAACATTTCTTTTAGGTTTGGCTCGAGTTTGTCCCTGGAAACAAAGAGTTCTATACCAAGAACATTAAATATTTGCGAGTATGTTCTAAGACCTGGCTGTATGTCATTTAATAAGGGACTAGTCATGTGTTCCCAGAACTTGGGGTTCTCGCGCAGTTTATTCACGAGTATTTGCATGTTATTCTTCCATAGCGCATGGAAAAGGGCCATGATGCATGAGAGCAAGGGACTGTGGAGCAACTTGGGGTTCTGAAAGAAATAAAAAAAAACTTTATTTATTGCTAGGAATTGTTGGCAAAAACATGTTATATGAACTGACTTTTTGCAGAATAAAAATTACAGGGAGCAGAAAAATACTCACATTTTTCACAGTTCCTAGATAATCAGCCATATAGCCTAGAATGCCTTCGAAACTGTCATCTGTTTCAGGTTTCTTATCAGTGGGAGTTTTCTTATCTTTGCCATCATCAGTGTCCATCTTAATTTCATGGTTCATCATGAAGAATGCCTCAGTGAGCCCTGGCTGGGTGCCAACACAAGTGGCCACAAACTCTAATATAGCTACTTTTAGTTCAGTTGTTTCGTACTTGTCCCGCAGACGATCGAGGAACATGACTCGCACTTGATAAGCGGTCATGTCTAAAGACGCGAATAGAGACATTTGGAAACGCTGAAATGAACATCATCAAGAAATTGAAAATATAATGTGTCTACTTTCCTATTACATACAACGCGACAATTTATTGAAAATGAAAAGCGAAATTAACGAATGCCTCATTAAAAACATAGTACAAAAACAATAGTCATAATTTTACTTACATCGGCGAAACTCTTGAGCAACCTGCAGCAGAGTACAGGCAGATTTTTATTGAATGCATGGTTGATGTAACTGGTGACTCTTGGTACTACTTTCAACAAGTCTTTCTGCTTATTCTGAGCGAAGATGAGGTGTTCTAATGGCGTCACTTCTGTAGCTTCCGTGACTAAGGGCTTGAGGCGTAAGGCAAAGATAACTATAGCTACACATCTCTGTATCGTTGATATGTACTGAGATCCATTACCCGCTATCCAGTTCGTTTCGTTCCTTATTACATTTTCTAGTTGATCGTTACCTGAATAATAGAATACAAAAGTTAATAAAGTATTGATTGATATAGATTTAGTTTGAAAACACTCATAATATAATAATTAACTGAATTATACATACCAACAGAAATGAACTTCAATAATTCGAGCGCATTTTCCGTATGTAATAAACTGTATACACAAGTCTGTTTCAGTAACGCGTTGCAGGGCTTGCTACTATTCGTATCTTGCAACACGAGCGTTAAGAACTGCGCGCAACGCAGTATCATGTCACGTCGCTCGCGAGTGTTGCTGTAACGCCAGCCATAGATATTGGGAAACACTTCGCGAAGGATCAATATTAGACCAGGGAGAATTATTTCCGTTGTTATACGGTCATCACTTGCAGATTGCTGAAATGTTTTAAAAAAGTTAAAGATGCTTCGCTAAATAAGATTTCATTGTGCGATTTTTAGGCAAAATAGTAATCTACCTCATGGAATGCACATAACAGATCAATGTATGCTCCTAAGAATTTGTATGTGCCAGTCAGCTGTTCTATCGTCACCAAATAAGATCCAACTGCAGCTGAGTCAAAGGATGCCCCATTAGCATACTCTATGTGAGCAAGTTTGTGGTTCATTAGACGAGGTAATAGTCCAGTGTTTATCAGTCTGTAAAATTGATACATTTTAATTACAAAATTCATTACTCATATGACAGAAATTAGGTGCGATTGTGTACCTTAAATGTATCTCCTTCGGGAAAACTGGTACTAAGGCAGTACAAACAGCAAGACACTCTACCAACAGTGATAAAGGCGGTGTGTCAGCCCTCATAAATCTCACTAGTACGTCAAACACTCCTTCACTAGGTCCTACCAAGGTCTTTGGTATCTCTCGGTCCTCAACCAGTGCCTGCAGCACTCCTTTCAACACCTTCGTACCCTGATAGATCCTTTCTAACGTCACATTGATATTATTTTGATGATGTTGCTTCCGATCAAGTGCTTTTTCAACCTCACTGTTGAATACTGTCCAATAAGAATATGGTGTTCTAAAATGGATCATTGTCGCTTCCTTCCGTTCCATCAGCGTGGCTGTAGAGCCTATTTCAATGCGGTAAGACGGGTTTCCTAGAGGAAAATATTCGCGACCGATAATAGCGTCATCGCCTTGTAGTGACATGACGGGTACTGCGTTCGGATTGTAGATTTCAGTGTAGACTGGAAGACTCTTTAGTTCTGATAACAGCTGTGTACAAGAAAATAGAATGAAATATTTGACATAAGTACTTATTAAAGAACAGTCTGTTTAATAAAAAAAAATATACTCACATTCATAACACTACATTTTCCTCCTTGAGCTAGTCCACTAGATAAAATGGATAGAGCACTGAAATTGAAAGGAAAATACTCTAGCGCTGTATTCCATAGAGATACAACGCCACAGTTCTCATCCCTCTTGTGTAGTTTCCAGAACTGACAGGTAATTTCTGGAGAAGATAATAAGTGGGCACAGAGTTGCATGACACCTGCTTGGTGGCTGATGGTACCATCTCCATCAAACTTATCGCATAAGTCGTTCAAAAGTCGAAATACTCTTTGCCGAGCGATAAGGGCGCATTTCGATTGGTCCTGTGTAGAAAATTTTGGTATAGTAAAAAGTAAGAAAAATAACTATAGTAAGTCAGTAGCGATAGTTGTGTGTACTTACAGAAAAACCAGAACTATTTAACATCTGTAGTAGGAATTCAAAGACTTGCATTCTTAGTGCTGTGGCTCCAAAATGTTGGTATTGACTCTCAAAGAGTTTTGCATGTTGATCACTCTGCAATGTCCAAAGATTCATTAAAACAAAACATCATAACATCACGCCTTTTATCTCCGAAGGGGTAGTCACAATACGGCACTTAATGCTACTGTACAATGTAACACCCACTTTTTACTATTTATGTTATGAGTCCCATGTAATAGGGGGTGAGCATATTGCTATTTACCGGGCACAATTCCAGACTCCGTGCTACTACTGAGATTTTTTGAAAAAACCCAGTAATACTTTGCCCGACCCGGGAATCGAACCCGAGACCCCTTGCCCAGCAGTCGCACTCAGCCAACGAGGCAGTCATTCATTAAAAGTAAATCATTAAAATCACTCTAATGTCAACAATAAAATTATAACAGATCAAAAGGATTTCATTAAATTGATTGTTTATGTATAAAAGTTTATGAGGTTGTGACCCTTTGGCTCTCTTAGATCTATGTTATAGCAAAGCATGGGTTGAGTAAAACTTACCTGGAGTGTGAGCATCATCCAAGTGATGAGCATTGCACTGTGTTCAGCATTCATTTGGAGTTTGGTGAGCTCACCTTCTACCACCTCTTTTGTACTGTCTATCCATGCTGACAAGTTCTTGCTGCAATAAAAATACATTACATCACACCTTTTATATCCGAAATGTTGGCATAGGTGCACATTACGGCACTTGATGCCACTGTACAATATGATACCCACTATTCACTATTATACATATGTTATGAGTGCCATGTAATAGGAGGTGAGCTTATTACCTTTAAAACAGCAATAAAAAAAATTATAAAAAAGTAGCTACTTCCGCGCGGTTTCATACGCTTTGCTCAGCTCCTATTTTTTTTTTTTAACATTGCCCCACACTAGGATTTTCTCCTGTGTCGTGGGTGCGTTTACAAACATACAATTTCACATACACATTGACACCCAGACCCGAAACAACAATTTGTGGATCACACAAAGTGTTGTCCCGTGCGGGAATCGAACCCGCGACACGTTGCACGGCAGCCGGTTGCCCAGCCACCGCACCAACCATGCAGTCAAAATTGGTCGTAGCGTGATGATTTATAGCCTATAGCCATCCTCGATAAATGCGCTATCCAACACAAAGAGAATTATCCAAATCAGACTTGTAGATACGGAGATTAGCGCATTCAAACAAACAAACAAAAAACAAACTCTTCCGCTTTATATAATATAGTATAAGATATTATCTATACTCGGAATTTTAATTCGATTCCAGATTTGACAAGTTCAGTGTGGCAACGTTATGACAAGTACTAAATAGTGACGTTGCGAAATTATTCGATATGGAAATGAAATATTTCTGGATCGATTCTTCTCGTTTATAATAATTATAATTTTACTCTCGTGAACTAAGTTTATCAGGAAATTAAATATTTCTGGACCGATAATTTAGTTTTGACGATTAATTAACGATCTGAGACGTTTCTTTTATAATTGTGTGTGAAATAAATAAAAAAATGTAATCATGAAGGAACATGACAAATAAAACAGATAGATGTATTATAGTAATAAGTTATTTTATAAATTGTCGCCGTCATCGCTATCGCTATCCTGTCACTTTCTGTAACATTTATTATAAAACACACACACTGATTGTTTATCGATTTTTGTGTGCATCACTACACCATTATATGTGGTATCATTATTTCACAAAATGACAGTAGCTATTGTCAAATCTGGAATCTAATTAAAATTCTGACTATAGAACAATGCATGCATAGAAAGGCACTACTTAATTTGATTTTCAATTTATAAGTTGTATGTAATTGGCTGGACTTTTTGCATAATAAAATACTTACATTTTAATGCCATCTGCAATGACCATAAACAAACACACTTCCATATACATTATCCTCATACATGGCTCTCTATGTCTCTCTTCCATGAGCTCACTGTATCCCTGGTTCTTGCCAAAAGCATGCTTTCTGAACAATGTGAACAATCTATTGAAATCTGTCTCTGTAAATATTTCTTCTTCAGCAATATGAAGGAGAATCTGTAAGATAGCTAATTGCTCTCTCATATTACAGTCAGCCCATTCTTGTCTAATATTCTCATTAGAAAATTCTTTTTGCATCCTCCTTAGTGGAGGCGCTGTATTCAACAGTTTGTCAAACTGAGATATCAATGATGTTTTTAAGTTCTCCATTCCTATGTCCTTTATAATTTTCTTAAATTGTTCATTATAAACATGCTGAGGATCATCTTTAAACTGCACTATGTACTGCAATAACTTAAGAAGGAACAGTCTCTCTGCATAGTAAAAGTTCCACACATTAGGCAACAGGAAAACAGGTCTTGTATCTACAAATGCCACATTTTTAAGGGCATTTGCTGGGGTACCATATGATATATCACACAAGTAATTCTTCATAATTTCCCATATTTGAAAGCAGTCCACGTCCTGTAAACAGATTAGTCAGTTTATTAAACAGTCACATAGTTATTATTATAGAATTATCATAGATTAATTAATAGACAAATTATCACTTACGATGTAGTTTTGTAAGGTTTGGATCACACTCAAAAGTTTAGTTTGATCTGCATGTTTGGTTTGAAGTTGAGGAAAACTTTCAGCTTTATGTGGCTTGTAACTACCAAGACCTTGTTTCAGGCTCTCCACAACATCTTTATTCCCTAATACAGAAGTTAATTCTTCATTTGTTAATGACTCCGATGTTGTCCAACGCCACAATCGCTTCCAATAGCTGTAAAATTATGTCATTAGATAAATAGCAGAAAACTAATTCTAATATCGTAAATAAAATTGTAAGCATACGTACCATATTCCATTTGTTGTCATGATTGTGAATTTTACTTCCCGGAGGCACAATCACAACGATTAATATCAATTTTGTGGTAATATTATTTACCGCCGAAGCATTTTAGGTTACAATAGCAAACCGTCAGTCACTTTTGACTGATTTTGACTTTGACAATGGGATTTTGACAACTGTCAAAGTGTCAAGTTTGACTATAGATAAGATTATACGGTAACTGCCAACGGTACAAACTATAGAGTTCACTGATAATTTGCGATTAATGGACATAACTTTTCACTTAGGTTTTGTATAATACCGTTATAATAATTAACAACTTAACAGAATATTTAATGCAAAAACTTTACTCCAAGTTTTTTATAATTTTTGTGACATTGACAAACATGGTGTTTGTCATATTGACATGACATTTTGGATTTGAAGTATAAAGCTGTTTGTTGACAGTTATCGACCGACGTCACCACATGAGGGTCAGAGTTTCACTCTAAATTATCAATTATAATACGGTTGGTTCATCGATATAGACTTAATTTGTAGATAATAAGGAGTGCACGTGATGCTTTTACTATAGGTGCACGTACGCATTTAGTTTCATTTATACATTTTATTTTATTGGTTATAGCTTTACTTTCCCGGTGCTTGAATAACCAGCAACATGGCTCCAGTAGCTCCTGCAGTAAAAACTTTGCCTGAGGATCCTATAGGCATCAGAGCCGTACTCCTCGGACCTCCAGGATCCGGTAAAGGAACTCAGGTAATACTTGTTTTTATGATCTTTGACCTTTAGTCCTATACTCACTGTTTATATAAATGTTACTTGTTAAGTATCTAATTAATGCTATTTAAATCTTTGATAATTTTTATGTTATGTAATCACTATATGAGTTTATAAGAATTTTATAGTTACCAATAGTTAGGCTTACATGGAACTACCTATAGATAGGATCACCTATTCATACAGAGTTTTGTAATAGTGACAATAACTTGACTTGTTTTTACCAGGCACCTCTGCTCAAGCGAAAATATTCTGTATGCCACTTATCTACTGGAGACATGCTCAGAGAAGAAGTCGCATCAGGCTCAGAATTGGGCCGTTCACTAAAAAAGGTCATGGATGAAGGGAAACTGGTTTCTGATGAGATGGTTGTAAATATGATTGACAAAAACTTGGATCAGCCATCTTGTAAGAATGGTTTTCTCCTTGATGGCTTTCCCAGAACGGTCCCTCAAGCCGAAAAGGTGAAGATTTTTTTAATATATATACTTATTTATTAACAATTTTTGTTCACCTTCCAAAGAAATAGAAACTCTATTAGTGTTTTTATTTACATTTTGAACTTAGGAGATACAAGTTCATCTTTGTTCATGTAATTATTTGCAGTATAATAAATAATGGAACTTTTGAAAGAAAAATAAAAACTTGATTCATTATAATCCATACAATATTTTTTGGCAATATACAATTTATTTTATCCGTAATAAATTTTAAATATGATTGAATATATTCTTAATAATAAATTCTATTTTATTTTGCAGTTGGATGTCCTGTTAGCCAAACGTGATTCTGGACTTGATGCTGTCATTGAATTTGGCATTCAAGATAGTCTGTTGGTCCGCAGAATTACAGGGAGACTGATTCATCCATCCAGTGGACGTAGCTACCATGAGGAGTTCTACCCACCTAAGAAGCCCATGGTAGATGACGTTACTGGTGAACCTTTAATTAGAAGGTCTGATGACAATGTTGATGCTTTGAAAAAGCGACTTGCTGTATATAATGCGCAGACTGTACCTCTTGTGGATTATTACATGAGGAAAGGTATTCACTGGAGGGTGGACGCAACTAAATCTTCTGATCAGGTATTCAACAAGATTGACAACATCTTCAAAACTAGGATCTTCTCAAGGCAACAGCAACAACAACAACAGCAAGCATCCCAGTAACTTAGTATTTAAGAAAATGTTTTGTACAAATCTTATTTCCATATTGCAGTATGTTAACTGTCATTTGTTTAGTTAAAAACTATTGTGAATCTATATCATCTATTTTAGAGACTATTTTTCTTGAACAAATACAGTGGACTGGAATCATGGACTTGTTTGTTTGATTAAAACAGCTAGATAACAGTTTATCACATAATGAGTTCTACAATTATTGCCATGCAAAGATAGTATAGCTGTACTTATGTATGTAATCAAATTGATTACAGATTTTGCAGTGACAAATGTAAAGCAATTATACATAATTTGCAGTCAACTAAATACATAAAATATGTGCCAAGAGCCAGGAGTAAAGTTAATTAAGTTAAAAATCAGATATTATAGTTATTCATATTTTAAGTTTGATTTTCATTATGGCAAGTTCGGACTTAGCTTAAAAATAATTATTTACAGTATTGGGTTCATTGTTAGACATCCATTTCCCAAAATCACTAATTCAAACTGAAGAAATAACATAAACCTCATTAATTTTCAGAACTTTATTTTTTCTACTAAATACTTAATATTAATAATTGTTATGGCCTAATATAAAATGGTTAGTATTCATTTTATAAGCTCGAAGAAAGGCTTAAAATATACATTATATATCAGGTTACAAGTTTACTCATACAACAATATAACCATAACTCTACATAGACTTGAATTTATATGTGAAGGACAAGTTGATAACATTGACATAATGTACATATACAGTATTATTTGTGTACATTGTGAACATTATGTTTATAATATTATGTAGTATGGTTTTTATGATTTCATTTTCTTGAAGTTTTTATAGATTCTGAACTATGTTATTGTCTTTAAGGTTAAGTACAAACTATACTATTAGGTAGAGGATTCTATAGGTACTCGATTGGTTATAATTATTATGCACAATATATAGGTAAATAGATTATTAAATCAGTAATATAACAAAGTTAGTATATAACTCACTAGGTAAAAGTTAATGTGGAATAATACTACATCTGACTAAACATCTATAGGTACTGTAGGTACTATTCTATAAAGTAGATACAAAAAAGATTGAAATACCTCATTTTTATTCCAGAGATGGTACAATCCAATCAATGAATGATCTATCTATCTTGTTATTATCAGCATACATTTAAAACAGTGTATTTTAATGATTTTGTCATAAGATGTCCAACTACCATTAACTTTCTTTAGAACCATTATTGCTTTTTAACATCTACACATGGATTTACGCAGGTACCTACGGGCTAAGTTCATTTTATAAGTAGGTATGTAAATATTTATAAAATTCATCAATGGTTAATTTCACAGCCGTATAATATTTGCACTTTTAGGGATAAATTTTTAGATAAAATTGAAAAGTTAGGTATAGGAAGGTAAATGTTTGTAGTTACAAAGATATTAAATAGGTAGATACAGAGTATATAAGAAATTAATTAATAATCTAGAAGTTTAAGCTGGACAACAACAAGGTTTAATATGCATTTACCTAATAAATAAATGCCTTATCTTGAGATATACAAAGACTTAGGCATTGTGTGAGTATCACTACGTATTATACCTATAACTTAGCTATTATTAATTACAATTTAATAGAACATAACTATGTAATTGACTATAGCAAAAAAGGTAGAAGAGTTGCAAATGCAGTTTTATATTAATCTGTCAAACACCAAGCGGTCACCGGTGACCGCGACCTATTGTTCTTTAATTGTGTCTATAAAACCGGTACTCGACGAGTTAAAACAACTTAATTATGAAAAGTTTTACAAAGAAAGTTAATTCATATGTATGATAAGCTTGAAGTACCAAGTAATACGGGAATAGAATTCCACCGTTGAATTGAGACAGAAGAGGGGTAAATAGATACTATGAAGAATTTCCCACGCGTACCTATTCACCTCTCTGCTATCTCTATTGAACCCTCAAATTCTATTCACCCCGTTTTGCGTTAGGTATTTATGTAGCTTTATTATGATATTGGTGTTAAGCTGAAATTCCATAAATTTGCTTTGGTATGTTATTTACATGCTAAAGCAACTTTAAGGTCATGAAAGGTTATCAACTGTAATAATGATAGTATGCATGCTTAAAGGAAGTAAATAAAACACAAAATAAATGAGCCGATTCAGTGTAATTGTGATCATTTTCAAGTATAAATGTAATTTTATACAAAAGAACAATTATTATAATGTATTATGTAGATAGGTACAATTTATTTATGTTTAGGCAGATTCGACTTTATAATACAACAACAAGATGAAGTTACTCGAGACGAAGTAATATAAAGTGATACACGTAATCAAAAAATATAAAAAGCAAACGAAACTTCATGATATGCTATTATGCTAATTAATAATTGATAGTAAAAATAATTCACGCCGACTAGCAAACACATTAACATTTAAGTGCAATCCTCCAAGTATTACACTAGTTATATTAAAATTTCCATAGTTAAGATTTCTCATAAAAATACTACCTTTAAAGTACTATTCGCACCAAACGTCGCATTTTAAAATACGTAATTTTGATAATAACGAACGATATGAAAACAAATAACGATTTATAATAAAATAGACGTGATTTCCACTGTCAAAATATGGTTTTATTAAAGGTAGGTAGATATCATACAGAGTCTGTCATGGGGAATTGAGACGTAAACACGAATGAACACCGAAAGCTAAACTAGCATCAAATAAATAACTACAATTAAAAAATATACGTAGGTAGGTAGATTATATACAGAAATGATACGATACCAGTCACAGCTACTTAACAACGTCCTATGCCACTATATATAGCTTTGGATTACCGTAACGACAACACGTTTACACGTTTTGGCTAAATCTAATTTACAATAAAGCTTTTTAGAACAACATTTACATACAATTGGAAAATATTTAACAAGTGGAGTCCGGGGCGGTCGCTACTGGTGCTGAAAAACTTTATCGCTAACCGAATATGACTACGAAGAAGACTTATTTATCTGAGGCACTTGGTCTAAAACACCAGAATTTGCGGCGGACAGGGTCTTCTAAACATACTCATATTTCAAACAAACCCAGCTACTTCTGACCGAGGGATAGAGATGATAAGAAAATCGAGATGTTATATCCAAACGCGGCGTAGACTTCACAGAGCTTCGGATTGGAAGCGGTAGGTTGGAGAGTCTAGTACCGGTTGGAGAGAAGTGACGGTGCGAGACCGCAGCGTGGCGTGCTCAGGCGAGGCCCGCCGCGGCTCAGTGGTCGTGCAGCCGGTCGTGCGAGCGACTCGACGACCGGGACGTCTTGCGCTGGTCCAGGTATGCCGCCGGCGCCCAGCCCTCACCTTGACCACCTGCAGACCAAGGTAAATAATGTTACACATTATAATGATACTTACTTCATTTTAAAAATTAAAACTACAACTAGGCTAAATATGGCATCATCATCAGGCAAACAGGTTCGTAAATCTAAGATGGAGTGTGACGTAGCTACGTACCGGCGAGCCGCACGTACCACCAGCCGGCGCAGCCCACCTTGAGCAGCTCGGCGTGCTGGCCCTCCCGCAGCGAGACCTCGCTGGGCCCCACGGCCGTGTAGTCCGACAGCGCCACCAGCGCGCACCCCACCGCCTGCCACACAACACTCCGCTCAGCACAGGTACACACGTCTGCTGTCTCTAGCTACTTTATAATAATTACTGTCCATGTTCACTGTATTTAAGAATTCTTTCAATTTTCTGGGTATCATATTGCATTTGCATTATATCTACTTTTTTAAATTTGTACAGTGACCATCAGGTGATCCTATTCTAATCTGTTATTATTTTCATTGTATTTTTGACTTTATTTCTCACAAGAATAAAGCTAAAAAACAGAAATGAGTAAGTTGTCCTGCTAGCAGTGCTAGTCACTGTACATGTTATGCCTTTAACCTTTATAAAATTGAAAGCATTCGTTTGGTTTTCATTATTGGTCAGTTTATGTATCTCATGTTTTTATGTTGATTAGGATTTAAGATTCAATAGCCGTGTCTGAGTCAAGATGAGAATGTGGAGTGTTGTGTTGGTACTGTAGTGAGTCTAGCTGTATCTAGTATGTCTGTAGCAATAGTATGTAGGTAGTAAAGAGTAACATCGTTCAATCCTGTACATCGATCGACATGCATTCCATCACCACTGGTCAAACCGAGAGTGTCGTCAAATTGTAGCCAAATATCACAGTAAAGTAGATAGAGTAAAACAAGCAAAGAACTCATATTTGACCTAATTTGACTCCACCCATGGAACACAAACATGCATTTTTATTGTAACGTACTTAATAGATAAAAATATTCCTTTTCATTTTTCCTATCTAGAAGTAGTTCAATGTTTGACCAGACCATGCATGTTAGTAAAGCAGTTAGTAGAACATAAGTTAACACTGATAATATAATTAGTTACAATAAAATAGGTAATTTATATAAACGGCTATTATAGTTATTTGCGGCAGAAATAATAGTCATACTTTTGAAGATAGATATATTCGCCAAATGCTGAATTATAAATACATCGAATAGGCGGGATATTACATAATAAATTATATTACATAGACAATTTCCAGATAAGTTATACTAACATTGAAAAACACATTATGTAGTTTTATATAGATAATATATACGTCCAAAGTCCATTTAAGTATAGTCGAATACCAAGGAACTAAAAACTGGTTTTCATATTATGAGATTGACAAAGAATCAACAATTTTTATGTATTTTAGATTTCATACTATGTAATGGTAATGTTAACCGAAGTCGTATACCAACTAATGAACCTACCCACGTTGGCCAGTTTAACGGTTAGCCGGATTTGTTATTTCTAGTGAATCAAAATTTAGTCATAATAATTTAGAATAACTATGACCAATCATTTATTATCACATTGATGAATACAAGATATAAAAAAAATTATCAAAAGATTAATTATGGTGTAGGAATTTGTTCGGGTAGGGCCTCTATAGACTGCAGGACGTGGGAGATTGAAATGTTTAATTTTCCTTTATCAGCTCATAATATGAAATCAATTTCTAGAAGATATAAATATATACGTAGTATAGTAGTATCAGAAATAGTGTCACACTGAAGTAAACCAAACATTACACAGTAAAGCTATTTAGTTGCACGTCCAAAGCAGTGGTCAGTGAATGATGCAAGCTGTGATGCCGTGCTCAGCTGTGTCCAATCACGCTACTTTGTCTTCTGATCCTTTCTCTCACGTTATAGACTGATATAATTATAATTATATTAAACGGTTTAATACTTTCAATAGAAACGGAGGAGGTAGGTATTTTGGTGACTGCACTATCCAAATGTTAATTTATGCATGGATGTTCTAGATAGCGCAGTTCTCATCATAAACGTATTGCGGAATTATATTAACCCGAAATGTGTTGTATATAAATTTTACGTAATATGTACTTAAGAAATATATTATTATATTGTACGTATTATATAAAATAGTGTTTCCGCTAAATGTTTCGTGATACATAAATATAAAATATTTTTATCGAAACTGATGAATAACATTTAATCGAAGCAAGCGCAGTTCAACAAAAAACCAATAAGCACACTGACAATGAGTGATATAACAAACAAAACATGACTTACACGATAGTTAATGTTCAGCGAATACAACCGAAATATCCACGTTCTCTTTGGTTAGATAGTTTAAGCTTTGGATATAAACTCAGTCTCTTTTCATTATGTACAAAGCCTCTATTGGCTGTATGGTCGCAAAGGTATTAATATTCAGTACTGTGACACGTAAAACGTGGATGTGGCTTGTGCGGAGCCCGCCACTGAAAAGAACTGTACCATTCTGTGGATGGTACCGTTGAGACCGACGGCCTCCGTCACCTGTAGAACAACACAACTTACAGCAAGGCATTGCACGAGACGTGAGGTGCCACTGCACCGTGCACTAACTTCCTAACTTCTCAGTGCTAGTGTCGCTAAATTATTTGAAAGGAACTAAAAGCGATGATGGCTAACTCAACTTTTATGCAGTGAGGGCGTGAAACCTATTGGACTAAGGTAGGACGTTATGAATTTATCGTGTATCGAGAATTTGTAGTATTTACACAATTTACACGACTAGATCTAAATAAGCAGATACTGCAAATTCTCTGACGATGCGCATGAACTACCACCGTTGAACCAATGTTTATCCCGTTCCACAATTCAGACAAGTTATCGGGAAGCATCATGTGCGTGGGGTTGCCAGCGATATCATGCGCTACCCGTGACTATGAGCCCGCATTCCTTTAGAAATACACTTTACACTTACATAAAGAGTGGGTTTCACTTCACTCAACACTGCAAACCCAAAATTAGTTGCATTAATTTAGGAGGCCCACGTTTTAGTAAAGCTACCCCGACACTCGACAGTAAGCGTTACACTATACTCCTAGGTTACTGTTAGTAGTCGTTACCGAAGAGGACATTACTGACATTTACTGTGAACAGAAGTTATAATTTATTGACAGGACAATTAACTTTACATTACTTCGACATATTTCCCAAACCATCACATTCAACAAAGAACAAATAAATCAACTTCTACTTTAGTATTATTTTCTGATCAATCTATTTTCTAGGTACGTTGACAGTTTGACATAATTTTCTCATTGGAAATATTGGTTGACTAAGGAAAGCTTTGAAATTGTTTATAGTGCACCTTAGTCAACCAAGTTCCGAGATGAAAGTACAGAGGTATTGTATGTTGATGGGTGAGTACGTACCGGCGGGTGTTCAGGCTCGTCATCGTCCTCGTCGGACGGGTCGGTGGACCAGCACGGCTCGTCGTGTGTGTCGCACGACGCGGTGCGCGTCGCGCTCGGTACCACTGCGCTCGGCTTCGCTGGCTGGGTACTGGGGGGACCCAGGTCCCATGAGCTCGTTTGGATTAGTGTTCTGGAGATAAAGCATCATGAAGGTAAGGTAAATTTGTGGTAGTTACAGAGACTGGAGCATATATTTGCTATGCAACGTCGTGGAAGCATTTACGCCGGTTTTCTGTAAAATCGTGATATCATTCCAGTCTAAACGGCCCATTCGTGCCGAAGCAGGGCTCGTATTACATCGTTGATACAGAACCAAACCGGCGATGAGGTCCGTACCTGTGCTGCGCGCTGTACTGCCGCACGCGCTCCCCCTTGAGCTCGTGCAGCTGGTCGAGCAGCACGCGCTTGATGCGCTCGACCCAGGCGCGCTTGACGTCGGCGCTGCTGGCCGTCAGCGTGTGCACCTCGGCGCGGCCCTGGCGCCACACCTCGAACTTGCGCACGTCGCCCTTCACTGACTCCGTCAGACCGATCTGGGACATCTGACATACACACACGGATTTATGATATTTCTAGAATTATCATTATGGCCAAGTATACGCCTATTTATATTTTTATCAGTTTCCGTTTGTGATACAATATTAATGTTGAAATTATTTTGACTTTGTTACTTATATTAACCAAAATTATAAAACGATAAAATGAATTTTAAATAAACCGTATCAGTTTAATACATCACTTAATTTCTGACATACTTTAGAACAGCAGGATTGCTATAAACAACAGAATAATATGAATATTCAATTGTAAATTGCCTATTAATTAGTGTTGTAAGTATAATTTTGGCTGTTCTGACTGACCTGTAAATCATGTTTGAAGTGGTACGTGGCCTTATTGTGGCTATTCTTAGTGGCAGGCTTGCAGAAGAGCATAGCCTTTTCATAGAGGAAGATGTGTCGTCGTCGCGGACGTATCCGCAGCCGAAGGTCGCGTTTGTTCTCCGATACAACTAGGAATGATCCCTGCATCAGCAACTCTCCTTGCTGACTTAAGTCCAGCTGAAGAAATACCAAAGAAAATAAATTTTTAAGTAATGTAAAGTTGTTAAGAGATGAGTAAATTTTCAGATCAATTCTCAAAATGGATAAACTGATACTGATTATTTATCGTGATCCCTCGGATAAAATCCGAGCATCCCATCCCATTCCATCCCATCTCTCGTCGTAGTTGATAATTCCCTACTGGTACATAATTCCAGAATAGTCACAATCGTGGTGATTGTGACTATTCTGTAGTAAGTTCTCAAGTAGAGGTATTGGCAATTAATAAAAAATCAATCATAAAAAAGGAACAGTGAACAGCCTAGTTTAAATAAAAATGATTCATTCAACAACCCCATCAATCTTCTGAAAGTGGCAACATAATTAATCACCACAATTGAGTTATAACTGTATTGCATGCTGCATCGCAAACATGCATACGTTAATGAGCTAATCTGTTTGGTCTATAATGACATGCTTGAATAACTGTACCTTGAATTAGTTATTAGTTTGGTGTGCAAGCTAACATGGACCTTGTAATTAGAAGAGACTTACGACTGTAGAGACTGGTACATAGCTTTTTATTTTCAACCTAAAAAGATCTCTAAATGTCTCTTGAACTGCTCTAATCACAAGGTTCATATTAGCGTGCGTAATGTATTTTCCAAAACTTGGATAAGTGCGTATACTATCTGCAGCTTTGAGATTTACTCTACAATCTACATCTTAGATTTTAGAAATTTCAAAATATTATGATCGAGGTTATTAGATATGCTATTCAAAATTGGTATTTGAAATTCATATTGATACGGAACTGGTCAATTTTCTAATTCAACATAGTATACGTTTATGAGCATCTCCGCAGCTGATTGCTTGATTAAGACTAGTCAGTTCCCGATTAATTTTTTGGAAATCATCAGGTTATTGATAGATCGGTTTCAACATTTGCAATGAGTGATTACTTACAGGGACGCCGGTGATGGCTATTTGATGCATGGAATCGTTGACGCATTTGAGCACCACCAGCATACAGTCCAATGCTGATTGGAGCCCAGTCGTCATTGATCCACACTCACTGTATCGAAGTAAGTCCTATAAATTAACATTAATCACAATTAATATTAAATATCCGCAAAATATGTAGAAACGCCTATAAATTACATACGATCTTTTCCGTGTAGAAAATAAAACGGTAAATTGATTAGGTAATATGTTATTTTCGCAGATCTTGGCTTAGGTATACATATTTTGGAACACAATTAAAATGCTTAGAGAACACCGAAAAACGCGGGTAAGACGAGACTCATTTACTATTTTGACCTCATAATATCACGTGACGTGATCATGTCTCTGAAGAGGTATATTTAAATGGATATACGTATTGACGGAAAGGTCCTAAAAGAATAAATTCTTTGTAGGTTGGTACTGACCTTAAGTAGCAACTGGTACTTGGTGATCCTCTGCACGGGTTTGAGAAGGTAGGCGGCAAGTGGTAGTTTGTGTCCGAGGCGCAGCTGACACGCCTGCAGGAACAGATGCGTGTCTACTAATGTCTCCCGCAAGCGCTCAGACCGAGGGATGTTCTGGCAGTAGTAGCTGTATAGTCGGAAGAATGTGTCCCTCTGTAGAAAAACAATTAAAAGAAAAGATGAGAATAATACGATAAAATAAAATTATATACCTATTCTATTATGTCAAGAAGTGAAGAATAAACGAACATACCTTTTCAACAAAACATAAGGCAACAAACTCTGTAGCCGATATAGACTTTTCTAAATCCTTTAGGAAGATATCTTGGTGGAATGTGAACAGTTCGTGTAGGTTTCCAAACAATACATCAGCTTGTCCAACTAGTGCTGCAGGCAATAAATGCTGATTTTCTGGTTTTTCGATTTCGTCTTTATATCCCTGGAAAAAAAATGCAATTATTATCCATCTAAAATGCACAATAAAACTTTAAAATACGGTTTAAGCGATAAATCTATTAAAATGTACCGAATTGAGGAGCGATGTACAATGGCTAATAGTATCACACCAGTCCTGTAGGCGTCTATCATAATCTTCGTAGATAGTTTCTAAGCATTTACATTCTGTTTGTCGCGTCAAACTGTGATTAATCTTCCAAAACATTGTTTTCTTTTTCAACGTTTGCAGTGTCGATGACCAGTTGTTGCCGAATGTTTGGTTACGATTCAAGCTTTGAGTTTTCCTTTTATCATGGATTTTACTTATATTTTTATTACAAAGTCGTGAAGCGTATGCGTAACTGTAATGGTGATTGTCGGTAATGTTAGATTTGAGATATCTGTTTGGTTTCCGACATGATAATGTGGAGTGAAGGCTTCGTACGTAACTGTCAGTGTTACTACTTCTACACATTGAATTTTTTTTACTTTCATGGGTGCAGTGTGAAACTGACGAGCAGTGATCCTTAACAGTATGGTTCCATTCTTTCATTATTCTTTTGTAATCCCTTAGAATATTTGTTAAGATATCCTCAGAGTCTTTACTACTTTCCATAGTGTTTCTTAGTTCAGTACAACTAGATGACTTAAGCTGAGAATCTTTAGAAGATACTGAACTAGAAATATATTCAGGTGTGGATAGATCAACATTTATACATCCGTATAAAGGATTCTTCACCAATTCCGGAACATCAAGCACTGTGGGCGCCGTCGTCGTGAGCGATTCTCCAGTGGTGTCCTCCGAAGCAGTGACCGCGTCCGAATCCGGTAAGTAAGTTATTTTTTCTTCACTTTTTTGAGTGTATTCATAACCGGGCAGTGTCTTACCGTAAAAGAAGTTTCCAGTGAACGGTTCCATATGCACTGGTTTAATGTTACGCGGGTTATATTTAACACGGCCACTTTTTCCCACATCACTCACAGATTTCTTGCACTTTTTGCCTCGGAGCTTCCCTCTTTCGAATAAAGATATCTGGTTAGCGTAGTCACTGAACAGAGTAGAGTCGGATGCAGCTCTATTCAGTCGTTTCTTCTTCCGTGTAGTGGGGTTCTCGTTTTTTCTGTAGTACCACGAGTAGGAAGTGCCCACGCTGAGATTCGCGGAAGATTTATGGAGGTCGTATTTTCCATATTTCATGGTGCAGAGGGTGGCGAAGTGTAACAAGCGACTGAGAGCTTGCACTGGCGTGCAGCTGGCGAATGAGTAGCATGCATTGCGTTCCGCTCGAGGAGCTGACGCAGTCGGTTGCGTGCGGTGCATCCAGTGCACTAGATAGACGGACTGAGCCTGCTGCGCGAACATTGCAGCGGGAGGGACACAAACACCGCACGCACCACATACATGGTAGTGGCACTATTGTTTTTCAGAGCGAGACGATGCCATGGAGATATGCATTAAGTGTTTTATTGGAATTAATCTTCCGTGACCGAAGGCTGATTTGATCTGAATAACTTCGATATCGTTTGTACAAGTAGCCGACCCTTCTATTTACATATGATACCACAACAATAAGTGGTTAGATATAGCCGGATGTTTTCTATTGCATGGTATTTGTCAGGACAGTTAGCTATCATTGTAATATATTATTATGACTTTCATCTATAGGTACTAGTGGTTATACATGTCACGTATCCGTAGCGTAATAAATGAAGCTAGCTTTGATTTTAAAGATTCTTTAAAGTGGTGCGTCATGTCATATAATAGTATCACCGTATTTGGTAGAGTTATCATCACCAGTTTTGCGTTACGTGCTCCTGGCACCAGAGAAAGGCGTGTTTGCTTTCGCTTCTTATTCCAATTCTGACACTATGTATGAATATTTACGAGTGTTCGTTCGACGGGTTAACGGTCTTGTTTTTATATATAGACATTTTGGCACATGACGTCACGCGACAAAAAGCGTAAGCATCCGTTTAAATGAGTTGCATCCTTTATCACTGCTGCTGGGACGCAAAAAAATTACGGAACGTGTGATTTGTCAGATGTTGGGGTATTTTATGCATAATTTACTTTGAAAAGTACTGAAGCACATTATAATATGATTTCATATTAAATATAATTAATTAATTATTCTTTTAGACAGGTGTATATAGTTTTGTCTTTGAAATCATTAGGTACTCACAGTGAGTATGGAGCCGAGTTCCTGGACGTAGACTCTTTCAGTTTGCAGCAGCTCAGCCAGCACGTGACCTCGACGTGCTTGCCGCGCATCCGCATCCTCTCCACCGGAACTCTCTGACCCTCCGGACGTCTCCATCTGTTGATTAGGTATCATAAACAGTTAAGTTGTAGTTTATGGATCTTGTTTATTTACAACCCCTAAAATAATAAAGACAAAGACATAAATACAGACATAATATGGAATACTTTGTAAGCCTTCAATAGGTATTTGATAAACATAGAAGTTAATCACGTAGATATCGAGTGCTACAATGTAAGTATGAACTAAGTCTACTTCAATCAAGAAAACAATGTATTAATTTAGTGCATTTTGAATAGACTACTTAGGTAAGTATCGACAAATTTATAAATAGAAATACGGATATGTGAAATCTGGGTTTTGTTTTATTAAATGGTGTGAAACTTGCATCAAATCAACCAGCCGATGAACTATCAGCTGGTTGTGTTGTGTACATTTCTACTTTTTTATTATTCAACAATTTTAGTATCCCGTCCTTAGCTAAATGGTAAGTGCAGCATAAAGTAGTAAATCAATTAAATGCATTGGTTTAAAATTCATTATCATTTACGTATGAAGGTAATATTTAGAACACATTAGTCATATGGGTTAACTATGCCAAATAGATCCACTATTACCTCTGAAAATCCCATAAAATCGACAATAGTAAACTGATTTATATCTAACAATGAAGAGGTTGATTCCTGCGAAATATTTCTTTGCTATTACATTACATAAAAGCTTATTTATTTATTTCAGATTTAGATAGGAAGTTTTTGAACAAATACTACAATACACATAGGTTTTTGTCATTTTTGAAGTTGACGTACATAATGAAAGCTCATATTTGTCTTTTTTCAGAATATATATTTAAGTAAAATAGGATATAGGTTGGTAGCCTTTGTCATTTAGAATGTCTAAAGAAGTACCATTATGGCAGTCCGGGGGTGCGATGTTATTTATAATTAGGGCAAATCTATTTATACGTAAATGTAGGTCTGTAATAAATATAATATCTAATTATTGTTAACTTACTATTAACATACTTAGATACACTAGCGATAGCTCTATTAAATACAGATTTTATTGGGCTTGTTAAACAAGATTGGTTTCTCCCAAGTACCGATAAAACGAAGAATTTAATTAAAAAGTCATTTTATACGCATGTGTGTTCAGTTTTACAAGACGCAATAAGTAAACTTACAGGTTTGTGTTGTTCTGAAAAATCCTTAACTATTTTATATCCAGTTTTAAGCACAACGTTTAACGTATTCATACTTGACGATAACTATGTTATCACAAAAATAAACACACTTATCACTAAAACCAATCACTGAGGTATTAAGTCCACTGTGAAGAGTATTGTAAGATAATTTCAATTTTAGTCAGTTTGTTGAAAATTGAACCCGAGCACATGGTGTCTGTGTCTGTTAAACGTGTGTAAGAATAAGGAACTGATGGCACTGGGCCCGGGATGAGAAGGGGCCGCGGGAATACGTTGGGACCATAAAAAAAGTTGTTGCCTCCACTTTTGTGCAGCGAAACTGGCACGGTAGATGCTCTACTTTATTTATACAGCAATAAAAGGGACATCGACGGTTAGCCGTTTAAAAAAGTTGTCAACTATACAGTCTCATTTAATGTTTAGTTTATTTTTTTAGTTTGATGTCGTACGTAAATAAATAGATGTAAATGAATTTAGATACATCAAAGTGTTATTAAATAGCGCTCGAAGTTTATAAAAATACAGAAGTTAATCTATTTAGATCTGCGGTTAAATCGTTTATGAAATACAGAGAAGTGTATCTTTGATATAAAATAATACTTTACACTGTCGAAATCCATAAGTTACGAAATCTAACTTTAAAGAATTGTAAGGTTAACATTTTATGTTACAATTACAACTGTGACTGGTGGGTTCGCATGCTACGATTGCGAAAAGCAAATTATAAAATTCGTTTACGTGTTTTTTTGTTTTGGTTATCTGTTACTTCAAATAACAATGTTTTTTTCTTTGTATTACAAATACTCAATAATAAGCTTCGTAAGTACCTACAACTTTTCATATTCATAATTGTATTCTAAGTTAACAATTTTAACACGAAAATAGTTTAAAAAAAATATTAAGGGCAAAATAGTAGATGCTAAAAAATCTGTAACGAAGTAGAGCAGTGTTCATGATGGTGGGAGTACAACGGTAATAAAGGGCGGCGTGCAGCTACGTGCGCCAGGCATCACTACGCCGAGCACGTTGTATGGCCCACCCGTCTATGTGTGAGTGCACGTCTACACGCTCTCCACTCGTGTATGTAGGCCACCACCACCTGCGAACATCTTCGTAGTTCTAAGGGTCTCTTTGCTACACGTTTTGAACTCAAAGCTATTGATCTGAAATATTTCAAGCCGAGTTCAAGTTTATTATATTCTTTTTGTCTCGTTTCTCCGAAACATCTGAGAATTCCTTTGTTTGGTGTTTGGGTTGAACGCAAGTTTGGGCACGTGCTGGTGGGAATATTGTTAGTTGATATTTCAAAACAAAAGGATGCGGACGTGACATCGGGACCGAAATAAATTAAAATAATATTATTGTAGTTTAAATGCTGTGGATATCGAAATGAAATAAATGGCTGTATTAGGTTAATGGCATTACGCTACTATCCTTTACCATACCTAGTTTGTCACTTTACGATATAAAAATTTATTATTATTTATTACGAATTGATTTTTTTTTTTAAGAAAAACGTTGCCCCACACTAGGATTTTCTCCTGTGTCGTGGGTGCGTTTACAAACATGCAAGTTTACATACACAATGACACCCAGACCCGAAACAACAATTTGTGGATCACACAAAGTGTTGTCCCGTGCGGGAATCGAACCCGCGACACGTTGCACGGCAGCCGGTTGCCCAGCCACCGCACCAACCGTGCAGTCCTTTATTTATTGGTACGTCGAACATATCTATATCTCGTTAACTATTTATTAGTAACTGTAAAGCTGTAAACAAAACCACCCAACTTACCCCTCAGAAAGAGCCAGTCGTATTTGAATGTCAGAGTCGTTAAATATTATTTCGCGTGAAAAGTCAAGGCATTTTTAAAGCCATTATTATCAATGAAAGGTGATACCATGAAAAAATACAATCTAGTATAAGTGTCAGCCTAGATGGTTGCTTTTTTGTTTTTAAACTTGACGGTCTTTACATTTGCTTTATAGTTGTTATGCAGAATATTATAGGTGAAGGGTTACCTTGATAGCAACGTACATTTTAACCATAAAGTACGATTTAAATAATCTCCATAACCACTGTACAAAATGTATATTTTATTAGCACATTCTAGATTGGTCACAGTTGTATAACTATGTATTATACAGTACAGCCATGATATCGCGAACCAGATTGGATACAGTGTAAATGAAAATATGTCGGCTTTATTAATCCATGACCCTCGACAGTAATGCACTTGAACTGATTGACCATATTATGCGTTCAATTGCCGCGCTCGTCGGCTGTAGGCTGTGCTGACAGTCACTGTGACTGTGATTCACTGTACCTACAGTTTGTGAACTTATACGATGTTGCGTTCAATTAATAATATTTAGTAGGTAGGTAACTAAACCAATATGAAATCATCTCTTAAGAGGAAACGAAACAATTACGATTTAACTATGCTTTTATTATAATGATATATTTTGCAAATGTGAGTCATATCGCATTAGTTGAACTTCGGTTAATATTTTCATTATATGCTTACCCTAAATAGATTGTGAAAAGAAAATCAAACAAACTGACAGGCCAAATTAGATCTAGTTCTTTAGTAACTACGGTGTAAACTTCTGGATTCCTCCAAATTTCAAATGCAAGCGTTGAAAAGCATTGAAAAACTGGATTTTCTTAATAAATTCCCAGGAAGAACAGTAGCATGAGTGCGTAGTGTAACTGGAACGCTCTCCCGTTACTCGGACCGTTACTGTAATCACTGTTACATGAAGCTCATATTACTTTAGAAGGAATTAAATATAATATAACACCTTAACTTTGACTTATATTTCGAAGAAATGCAGATAATAACTTTAAAGTTTATGTTGTAAAAATTCCACGATAAAATCACCCGATGTAAATGAAATCATTCGTTGTTGTTAATTTATAGCAATATAGCTGTAATTGGCGCATCTTCTGTACTAAACAATGCAGTAAAAGTACAGCTTATATTCGACGTCATTTATAATTTGATTGAAGAAGAACGGGTCAGTAAATAATGAATTAATTATTTAAATGTAGAGTAGATATTTAACGGCTGAGATACTTCGTTGATTTATCGATTTACTATTTATATAACTGCATGTTGACCTCTATGCACATTTATGTCGCACTTTGCAAATATAAAGCTCAGATCATACGATTTGTTTGAAGTTGGACCATTCAGCTTATTAAGAATTTCTCGATATACGCGTTGCTAATACTTGTTAGTTTTGATGTCATTAGATACATTACAAAATATTTTGTATTTATTATTAACTCAGTGACTTATATAAGAGTCATATAATACATGGGTCAGTAGGAAACTAGGTTAAAGTGCATATAATATGATCGTTAGCTAAAATCTAGTGATTGATTAGATTTATCTTCGTTCAGATCACATAATTAAATTATAATGTATGCAGTTTTTGACAACATAATTATTTATTAATAGGTAGGTATTTAAAATTATTTTTAAAGGAAGAGTTTAAATGTGCTGTTGTAATTTGACGATAATTAACTTGATTGTAGTATAGCTACTTACTTAACTTTTTAATTATTTTTAGTATGTAACCATAAATACTCGAAGCATCTAGCCGTTTGATGATCCTATTGATACTACTGAGTTGTGAGCTACCAGATATTAACCTATAGTCTTTATTCATTTAATTAGCTTGTGAAAACATGTAAGATACGTTATCACAAATATAGATCACACAATTTTAGCAGGTAATGAAGAAAATTATATACACTTGAACCTATCGGTTTATCGTCACACGATGTCAGAGATATGAAGTGTGTGTGTCAGTTCAGTTATTATAGAAAACAGGAAGGAACTTA